TCTGAGCCGTAATTTAGATCAAGGTCAAAGGTCAGCTATAGATACTCTTAAAGATTTTTACACTTAAATGTTTAATGAATATCGTAAAGAAAAGAAATTGCTCTTTTAATGTTAAAGAGAGAGAGAGAAACTGCTTTTTTAATGTACATATATGTATGATAAGTCAATAGTAACTTATAAATCAGAATTAAATATACTGTATACTTCATACAATATATTTATTTTTTTAATATTTAGAATTAATATTACATCTCTTTTTATGTGTTCAATTTATTAAAACTCGCGCAGGTAAAATACGTACTAATAAATTATTATAAGCAAAAATAGTAACTTTAAATATTTATAACAAACAATGAACTTAATATTTTTGTAACAGATAAATATCAAAATTGACTCAAATCAATCTTTATTAAAGATAATTATTTTTATTATCATTTAATAAATAAACATGAGTTAATAAAACTCTGTACATAATCAAACGGATATTTTAATGTACTGCGGATTGATTGAAATTGTACTTCAATATTTATTCGAAAACCTCATATGTAAATGTTTACTTGTCTGGTTTACGGTGGGTAAGACGGGATAAACGAAACAGAAAAATAACATTGCCATTTAATTTGCAAAACTTTTGTTTCATAAAAAAAGAACAGTAACCATATATCCTGATACGGTAATATGTATTTTTGTTCATGATAACAAAAAAAAAACTAAATGATAAATTATCACTCCACAACAAATTTATTTTACACAATATTTAAAAATAGATGACGTTTGAGTCAGTTCTAATTATCAGCGACTCTAAACAGAGGGACACAAATTTTGTTTGATATTTCATTAAAATATTTTGCAACAATGTTCTATAAAAAAAGAATTCTTCATTCATATTAAAGTCTTCAGTAAATTAAACTTGTCAAGTTTTAAGGTATATAGGAAGTAAAAATTATATTTAAATGTAACAAGATCATTAACAACCAAGCAAAAAAAGTTATATTTTTTTATTTAATTGATTACACATTAGTTATTTAAGATACAAAGATTCTTAGTTAAGTTTCAATGAGTGGGTACAGTTAGTTACATTTTTTTTTTATTATTTTATTTATTACAATTATGTTGGTATTTTTTACATTTGTCTAAGTTTTCACAGTGTCTCATAAACCAATATTGGTTTTTCCGTACACTGGAATTCATCGTCGTTAACTCACAATTACATTGACATCTCAATACATTTATACTTTGTACTGTATACTTAATGTATTAAACAATAAAAGACATCGAGCCAATAATATAATGATACGAGGATGACAAAATAGAGTAATAATATTAACTAAAGATACAAAAATAATATAAAGTGCATAATCTAACAATCTAACAAATAAGTAACATATGTAAGGTAAATGTAACCTGATTAATTTAATGTTAATTGTTTAATTATTTCTTTATTTAATATCAATTTATCTTAAATATCTATAAGATATCAATAATAATCGTTTTAAAGAAAGAATATCCGACAGAAAACTAGGAGGTGTGTTAGTCTGAATGTTTCCAACGATTTAAAATAGCAATGGCCAATAAAATAATGACGAACTCTGTACAGAAAGACGTGGAGTGAACAAAAATATTTTTCAGAAAGCTTAAAATATTGTAATAATATATTGTAAAACAATAACAAATATTTAATAATCTTTTTCCCAACGTTTCATTACCTTCAGGAATTTTATTATGGTATTTAGATCATTTTATTCATTTAAAATTTTATCTTTAAAAAATGATGTTTTTACTCTGAAATTAAAATAATAACATCAGCCAGTCGTAGCTATATTTTATACGTAGGAAGTTTGTTTAATTCATATGTCGAATAAATATATTTTACTTGCACTAACAGTGCATACGGACCACCAAAATTACACACCAGAAATCGTCGGGGCGTGATATCTTAAATCCAATACTACCGTTCATCTTGTTCTCAAAACTCGTGAGACACAGAATCTGATTGCGATGACCACATGTGGCCTAACAAAAACTCCCTAGGTCTTCACAAATCACTCAATTAAAAATTAAATCATTTACCACGTAACTTTGATTATAACAACTTGTTTTAATTTTATCATACTTTACATTTTGTAAGTTAAATCTGTATAAATATTTTATATTTCCAGCAATTCGCCATTGGATGCTCGCAATAAGTTCAGAGTTTATCCATTTGAAAATAATTCAATGCACATGTAAGGCTATATCGCTTTTAAGATAAACGAAGATGTCCTTAAATAAATTTATCAGATTTCCTTTAAATAAAGTAAAGTTTATGGTAAGAAATATACATATATACTAGCTTTTGCCCGCGACTCCATCCGCGTGAACATCAGAGTTATTCTGTGCCACAAGTGGTGGATGGAGAGATTTGGGGTAGGGTAAGCAGAATATGTTTGAAAAATAAAATACCAATTTTCATCATTTCCACCCGTAAAACATTGATAATAATGATATCATCCGCTAGTATTCATTAAAATTTTAAATGAAACTAATATGTATTTTTACTATTTTTAACAGGCAGACGAGATGTCTACCGTGATCACGGTTGCTGCAAAAAATCGACACGTCGGGAGCATGTAGTTTTTGAACATAGTAAAATACGTGAAGTAATCAGAAAATATTAATTTCATTGATTTAGATTTGTAGATCGTCCTTGAGAATTTTTGTATCTAAAATAAGCACAGAGTGGTTGTGCATATCTCTGGCTGCATAGCGGCGTTTTCTAGAATTTAAAGTATCCACCAGTAACTTAAATCTATTGCTAAATCTAAGTACTCAGTAGTCACTCCCATACCCAAGACTTAGAAAAAGATTGTCAAGACGATGAGTTTGTTACGACTGACAGTGAAAAAACGGTCTCAGAAGATCTGTCTTTCATTTAAAATAAAAGACTATTGCATCAAATATAGGGCTATATTATATTAGATTTAATACAGAACCACAACACAGATGTACAATGTATGATTGCACTAAACGAACAAGTGCAAACCTTATCCTCAATGAGACAGTTCGTGCCCGTAAATGGTGTGCAAGTAGACATACTCGTTACTTATACTCGTTTGACAAAACAAGACAGAGTTCGCGCCAAACACCACAATCTGAAGTACAAAATCTGAAGTAAAAAAACATATTATTGTGGTCTTTGTATTAAGACCGTCTATAATAAAATATATTTCATATATGTAGCTTAAATGGGATTATTTGTTTATACAATAATTACATTTTAAATCGAGCATCATTTCTCGTTAGGATCATGAGTGTTATATAATTCCGGGATAACACTAATTGATTTGTCCGTTTGTAAATGATCACGTCAGATTAATAGCAATTTTATTTACATATGCTAATTATAATGTGCATTATTACACTTACGTAATCCATAGTTTAGAGAAACAGTTTGTCCCGTTTCAGGACAATCAACTTACTTTGAAAATCTCAGAAAACATACAACAATTTCTACTGTGGAATGTAGATGTTAGAAGTAATAAAACTCAGTTAAGAATTTAAAAAAACATTGTGCGTGGAGACCTTATACGAGGAAGAAATGAAACTTTGTTATTCTGGAATTAAAACAGGATGGGGTAGAAAATGATTTTTAAGGAAGTTTTTGTTTCTTTAAGATAAACTTTATTGAAATTACTTACAAGTTACAATTGATAGCTCGCATGGGTTCGAGCGCCACTCACTCTGATCGAGTTTCCACTCGCTCTGTCTCTTGGTATTCCCCTACCCCCGAGTTTTAAAAGTTACCAACTGTATTGGAAATCGCATAAGAAATTTCCCCTAAAATATTTCTCTTTGTCTTCTTGATACATATGAAAGAATTGCTCAATATGTAATACGGCTATTAAGGTGCAAATCTGAAATTAAATCAAGCAATTTTTATCAATCCAAAACGATAGCAATTATTCTGTCCTTATTCTCTTTGTTTGTTTTAAGTAAACAATTTTATGCAAAAAGTTTCGATAAACTAGGTATTATGATAATAATTTTATTTCATTTTTATAAACACATACTCCAAACTTATATGTATTCTAATATCACTGTTGAAATAAAAAATATAAGAAAAGCTATATATAAATTTAACAATTAAACTAAACTTAATAGCTCTTCTTAGAACTACGTAATGGGTGCCACACAATTTACAGTAGACTTGAGTAAGTCCAGTCTTGCACAAATACAGGTAATTCGGAAGTGACCACAAACGACTGATGCATGCTTGCACAAATGTCATTTCAGAGATACTTGTTCAAATGTGCGTGTTCAAATATGTAGCTAGTTACTACTCCTATAGATGGCGCTATGGCAGCGATTGGCTGTATTTTAGCGGCAAAAAAAACTAAGAAAATGAATGAAAATTTTGAAGAGACACTGAATTATATGTACTACAGACTGGTTTGTTTCTTTTATCTGTGTGGTGGTATTCTTTACTTTTTATTTGCCAAAGGTATGGTTAATTTCTATGTATATTTACAAACTCTTCTATTATAACGCGAACTCAATGCCTCTCGGCAGCCTCGTTCATTTTGGTGTGACAATGACGTGCACATGTAGGTGACTAAAACAATACTGAAACTTGCGTGAAATGCAAACAACCACACACGTTCATCTAAACTTGTTCAAACGAAACATTGCATAAGTTGGAATTTGAAATTGGGAACTTTTTCAAGAACTTGTGCATGTCGGAAAATTGTGCAATTTTATTCCAATACACATTAAAGTATACTTGTGCAAGTAAGGACATATTTTTTATTTTATTGAAAAGGTAATAATACTTACTTTGGGATTTAAAACAAAATTAACATTACTGGCTATGCAATAAGTGCAAAATTGTTTAAATAGTATTATATTCTTTTTTATTATTGTATCTTTACATATTTTTTTTAATTGAACAAAACATTGTTTTTTGAAATTTTTTATTGAAGTAAAATATCCTCTCTAAATTAAAAACAGTATGAAAAACTTTTTCATAACCTTAACCAGTACATTCCAGATCTGATTCCATTATAGTCTGGAAGAGTTTCTATGGGTCCAACAGCTGCAACTACTGGACATTTGTCATATAAATATTTAAAAGTAACGTCTCTTAATCTTTCAACTGTAATCGATGATAAATCTTGATAAATTTCACTAAGACTTCTTCGGCTAGATGTATACATCATTTGCAAACCAATATCATAAGAAGATTTCACAACACCTTCGATATTTTTCGCTAATTTCATTTTCAGAACTTGAGACGCTCTCTCGAGATCCGTCTTCTGAATAGAAGTACATGTATTCATCCAATCCTTTTGTATATTATAAACCATGTCATCCAAATCGTTCGTTCCTACAAAATAAACACCCCACAAGCCGACATCGTGGTACGCTATATAAAATGATTCAAATTTCTCACACAAACTTGAAGTTGATGAGGCACGAGCTAAAAATGAACCATGACGGTCTGACCCGCCTTGTGTTCTCTCCCAGGAATCATTTAGACAAGTGGCCAGTAAAAGTGGTAAATATTCAGGGCTGTTATATCCAGGAGCTTCAACTGCAATAGCAACATGAGCAACGGGCAACGCATCATTGCGATATACAATTGAAGATCCGGTATAACGCTTTGGTCCATAATTTATAACTTTAGTGTCACTTTCTTTTACGACACTAAAGTAATTTTCAGCATATTCAACAACAGCACCATGTGAAACACCACCAGAAGTAGCTAAAAGCATCCGATGTGGTCGATAATTATGATAAAAATAAGAGCATATATCACGTATATCAAATCTACAAAAATTGCTAGAAAGACCCATAACAGTTTGAGCCAAAGGAGTCCCTTGAAATGCAGTCTGGTGTAAGTAATCAAACATTACCATTCTACTGTTATTGTCATTTTCAATCGCTTCAAAACACATTTTTTGTTTTTGTGATTCTATCATAGTTTCAGTTAAGTCTATTTGACAAATGATTTGAGCTAGCAAACTTATATTCAGTTTTAGACTTTCCTTTAATCCAACAGCAGAAAAAACTTGATGATCTCTTGCGGTAAAAGCAGACATTTTTGTTCCCCCTCTTCTAATTACATCTTGTAAAGCATAACTGTTCATTGAAGTAAAGCCTTGATAAGCCAAATGTTCTACGAAGTATGCTAAACCATTATTATTTTCAGTTTCAAATCTCGGTCCTGTTTTAGTAAAAAGCGATGTACAAAATAACGGAGAATTGCTCTCTTCAGTGACCACTCTCAAACCATTGGACAAAGTTGTAATATGAACGGGTGCATAAAAGTTACGTAGCCTACATGGATCTAATTTTTTAGCCATTGTATATTTTTTATTAGATCTAAAAATGTTATGTGATCTAAACAATAATAAATCAGTTGTCAATGTATTACCAAGATGGTTTAGGATTGATGTTTTAAATATTAAAAAGTATGTATATGTAATTAAAATTGCATGTAAGCACCGTAGAAAATTCAATAATGTTTTACTTGAAAAAGTGTTAATAATATTCTTTTAAGTACTTATTTATGTTATAAAACTTCAGGTAATATTTTCTATCAAGGAATGACAAAACTCTTAATAAATTTTACACAACACTTTACTCAACGTGTTTTTTGTTGAATGAAACTTTAATTATAATTTTAGTTCTTAATCCTATTTTCGAACGTGTATTTTCTTGAAACAACAAATCGGCTTTATCAATAGACCTTTAAGTAACCCAGAACCGATTTTATAGTCAAAGAGTTTGTATATCAATAACTGACATGCTTTAATTACGTAGCCCGTTATTATCCTTAGCAACTGTCTTAATCATTTGAAGAATATTTTAAATAAAGCTAAAAGGACAGCAAAAATGTTCAAACAACTGAAAGTATTTCAAGTTATTAACAAATCAATCAATATTTTTATCCGCAGCAGAAGCTCACCAGGTTCATACGAAAGTATCTTTAAAGGAATTCCTAAAACACAACATTCAGAACTTCATAGTGGACTTACAGTTGCAACAGAGGAAAGAAATTGTCCCCACGTGTGTTTTGGATTTTACATAGACGCTGGATCAAGACATGAAAACGAATTAGAAAATGGTGTCACACATTTTTTTCAACACATTGCTTTCAAGGGCACCGAAAATAGATCCAAAGCGGACTTGGAAAAGGAAATGTCTTCAACCGGAGCAAAATTTAAATGTTTTACTACGCGTGATATTACAGTTTATTTTGCTCAATGTTTAGCAAAAGATTTTGCTCAAGTTGTTGATATTCTATATGAATGCGTATTTAACAATTCTTTTTGTTGCGACGAACTTGAAATTCAAAGAAATGTTATCCAAGAAGAAATGTTAAAGCATGATGAATCAACAGTAAATGTATTATATGACTATTTACATTCAACAGCGTTCCAAGGTACACAATTAGGACAAACTGTTATGGGAACTAGTGAAAACTTACATAAATTTCAAATGCCTTCTGTTAGAAATCATGTAAAGAAAATGTTTATTCCACAAAGAACTGTATTAGCTGCCGTTGGTGGTGTTAGGCACGAGACTATGATAAATATTGGAAATAAATATTTTAGGAAAACTAAAGACCCCGAATGTATTTCTTTAGGTCCTAGTAGATATACAGGATCCGAAATATCCTACAGAGATGATTCAATGCCCATGGGTCATGTAGCTATAGCTGTGGAAGGCCCCTCCTTTTGTAGTAAAGATAAAATCTTTATGAATCTAGCCGCCTCATACATCGGAGGTTGGGACACCTCTCAACCAGGCGGAACAAACCACGGAACTTACACCGCGTTGATGGGCTCAGCTGGACGTAATTGCGAGTCTTATAAAACTTTCCATTTTGTTTATAATGATACCAGTCTATGGGGAGCACAATTTATATCACCGAGAATTGATTTAGACGACATGCTATACGTCATTCAGGACACATGGATGAGACTATGTGACTTGATTACTGACGGTGAATTAATAAGACCCAAAAATGAATTAAAATCAAAGATTCTGATGCAAAATCAAAGCACAGAAAAAGCATGTCATGATATTGGACAACACGTACTTCGAACTGGGAATCGACCGAGTATTCCTGATAGATTTCGTGAAATTGATAATATAACTGCAAAGCAGTTAAAAAAAGTTTGCGATAACTACATTTATGATAGATGTCCAGTTGTAGTTGGCATTGGTTCCATAGAATGCTTATATCCGTATACAAATATAAGAGATGGTATGCGTTGGCTAAGAGTATAAAAGTTTGAATGAGGAAGACCAACCCACCGTGAATTTAGATATTGTATTTACATGTTAATATATCTACCTATTGTCTGTGTTGGTTTTAATTACTGTTAATCTCAGTGTAAGTATTATTATTATTGTCCATAATTAGGTCTTCTTCTGCCTGACAATTTCCCAGCTTTAGCCAGGGTCTGCCTTACATGTTGTGAATAGTTTGGGCTAATTCTTTTTACAACCGGCCGCCTGCCTGACATTAACCCTCTTTGGGAATGCATTAATCAGTGATGTCTAAATACTCTTAGAAAGTACATGTAACTTCGAAAAATCACATTGGTACTTGCCAGTGCCAGGATCGAACCCGCGCCCTCATGCATGAGAGGCGGACTTTTTAACCACTAGGCCACCACTGACTTTTCATTGTCCATAATTAAGTACATAAAACTAATTTAGGAACCTCAAAATTGATTATAGTCAAACAAGTGATCGTCATATTAGAGATTTTATCAAGAAAACTTCCGTTTTAAACTAATTTTTAGCTTTAAAATATTTACATTAATTTGCGCCATCTACCGTTGGACGGACGTACTTAATACAATCACGACATTCACATCTTTGGTCCACTTTGTCTATGGCTACTAGCTCTATTGGTTTGATAGCGTCATATGCGAGGGTGGGGGTAATCAGAAGTACCAACCTATAAAATTTTTGTCTGAAAGGAAATGGAGATCTGGGCGTTTAAAGGGCGCCTCTAACAGAATGAATTGCGACTTAAGACATCGTGACAGGGAACTTATCTTCAAGGGATGAAATATCCTAATATACCATTTATTTCACTTTTTACGTAGGTACTTTTTATTAAATGGAGTCATTATGAATCTTAGCTGAGAATTTGCTTACTTTTATCATTTCTGATTGACTTAATAAAATATCCAAAATCTTCTAAACTTTATTAATTTAAAAAATATATCAGTCGAAATGTATCTCGTTCGATGTGTAGTCCGTACTTAGGACAAATATGGGATAGAACAACATCGCAAAACAACCTAATGAATGTTTGACGCCTTGCAATGGTCACCCATGATGCCATATATTCATATATGGCATATTTCATTTATACCACACCACTATATTGTCAGTTAGGAACAGACAGACAAAAACTTTCACATATACACCTATAAAAATAGCTAAAGCATTATTATACAATGCAGGTAAAATAAAATACGAATAGTATAAAATTATAATTTATTATTTCGAATAGAGGCTAAAGTAAAAAATATTAAAAACTGATCATGAGTATAATCGAGTATAAGAGTTTCGACGGAACAAAATGTACATACAGAGCATCGAAACGTTGGAATGCTAGAACAGTGAGAAACGGAACCGGTTCTACGATTGTACGAGCATTTATAAACGTAACTCCAATATAAAGATGATATATGGAATCACTAGTTTATCAATTTGAAAATACCCTCAAACATCTAACCGAATTACACGCAATGCTCGTACAAAGTCAACCAAATAAAAAGAAACTCCTCATTGAGGAAACACATTCAGATCAAGGATCACAAGATTTTTGTCACAAATTTACATCACAACAGTAGAGAGCTAATATTAAAAAAGAATGATTTAAAATGTGACATTTGACACAAGATTTTTTTTGCATCACAATAAAAAAAAATTATAAAAATGCACGTACATAAATGGTCTTAATTAGAAAAATGGAATGGTAAATGCCTTATCAACGAGGTTGCTCTAAATAAAATTAGGCATTTTATCAAAAATGAAATCTCATACAAAAAAAATGTTTTGTTACGTTGACTGTTAAAACTTACTCTAGAATAAATGTCATTAATATTTAATGTGTATCAACTAGGGTACCACAACCTATTATAGTAATTATATCAAAAGACATATAGCACTACCAATAGGTTTACAATACAAATACATCGAAGACTTATCCTTCTCTCGGCCCATGACCTTGCTATAACTTCTTGAAGATTATCGACGCCGTCATACATAAGCGTCTTATATCAGTTAATTTTAATACTAGAAAGAGACGAATGGGATATCTTTTTTTTTAAATTTAAAATAAAAAAAAAAATTGTTCAAAACCTTCAAAAACGTCATACATTTTCGCTGCCAACGATACCTATCACATTTGACACAGCAGCCTTTAGGTTACGAGAGATTCCATCTCTAAATAGGACGACACATATCACTGCGTTATTCCTAGTCCACACATTTCAATTAGCCAATTAAAAAATCACTCCAAAATATTAGCTGAATGAAGAAGCAATACTCCTTACTCAAATTTTATGTTATATGATATTGCAATTTTTTTTTAATCACATCTCGACACGTAAGACCATTTCTTGGTATTCATTAATTCATATTCTACCGAAAATCTAATTAAAATTCACAAGAGCGCGGGAGTATTACGCCAACATTAGCTGTGGTTACAATTTAACGTTTTACATTAACTTTTTTTTTGTTTGACACCAAATATGTCAAATTTACAAAAGTGTTCCTTTGCCTTTCAAAATTTTATTCCAAAATAGCAATTGAAATAGCACATTCGAATAAATTCGAACTAACAAAGCTCCTTTCGAATCTTACCCTGCTTGAGGTGTTATAAAAAACTTGGTTGATACTTACAACTATACCTGATAACATAGCAGGTTAGGTTAAATACGACTGGATACCCATTATATATATAAGTATATATGGCGAGAAAACTGACAGAAATATTATCATATATTAATATTAAAATCATTAAAAAATACATCCTGTGAAACATTCGTCATTGTATAAAAAAACATTTTGAATACATCAGGCCCGATCGTCCCGACGATGCGGTCTGTGATCGTTTAAGATGCACGAATGTCTCACAAACGACTATCCTAACTTACTATAACACTAAATTGTCATGAAAATCCTGTAAATAGACACATATTTGAGCACAGATTATAAATTGTTACACAGATAATACAAATGTGGAATGTTATACAACATCGATAGGCATACATTAATTTTATGGCGTTTGAGAACTTAAGACAGAAAAATATCATATATTTGGTTTTATCTTAGCAGTCTACAATCGTTTAGGTTATGACTAGGTGCGAAATGTTGAAAACATCAAACCAGTATTATATCCACGTTAAACATCTTGAGTGACTCGTTTTGTTTATTTTTTTTACATATAAAAATTGTAGACTGCCAGCTATAAAAAAAAATGTTGCTGCTCAAATGAAGTTGCGATCCAAAAAGGATCTACTCTGCTTGTATACTGAGTATTAAATGGACCAAAAAAAAACAAACCTTATATTCTAAATATAAATGACATCCACGTTTCGCTTAGACGCGACCCATGTCCACCTCCTACGTAAGGGGGACTTAATAATCGCCAGTAAATAGCTGCACCCTATCTAAACGTCACATAGTATAAGAGCATTGGTATAAAAAAAATTTGGTAAAAAAATATCATAAAAACTAACATATTAATACAGCTACCGAAATATGGAATGTATCTTATAAAAGAAGTCATAATCTCCTTGGATATAATATATAAAATAAAAATAAAAAAAAAACCTTACTCTAAGAGTACTAAAAGATTATCATATAATATGTTAAGAAATACTTAGACCTTATTAGGTTTTGATTATGCAGACTTATATCTACTGGAATGTAATGAGATAAAATAAAACCTTACAATAATAATAGACGTGTTAGTTCTATTACCCCTTATACATAATGGTTAGATCCACCCAAACCATGATTATATTATATGTTCAAAACATTAAAGCCATCAAGAATGTCTTTAAAATATTCAAACGTTACATATACAGCATTATGCATATGATTTAATTGATTTCATTCAGTTTTATCCTACACTACATAGAGGTAAAATATACGTCACAACAAAATTGAGCTCTCAGCATAGAGAAATAGATAATGTATGAAACGAACAAATGTTTCATAATCCATCCATAAAAATTGTAAAATGAGATTCACTGTATTGATAAATAAATTTGAATGTAAAAAAGAATATTAGATTAAAAACAAAAATCTCACATCCTATGTCATACAAAACAGAATGGGACGGAAGATACAACATAAATCCAACCATTAGAACTAAAAAATCTCAATTACATAAATTAATAATATTTTTTTTTTTATATTATGTATGAGAGAGCTAAACTATCATTATAATATAACTTCTGACGTTCGACTAACGATGGGACGAAAAGAAATATAAAATTAAAGCTTCACAGAATTTTGACATACATTTCTATGATAAAATATATATTATATGTGGGTATATATACGTATATATATTAAAATATTCAAATAAATTGAGTCACCAACCCCCTATATCATAATGGCAATCACTATTTGACAAGCTGGCTTCAATAATTTCCATCGGATCAAAGATATTGTAATCCATTGAATATATTTTGTCATGATTTCACAAATTACAACTAAGACAGTCGTTTAAAAAATGAGGTACATACAAAATTTCATTTAAATACACCTAGACCCTTGTTAAATATTAAAAAAAAATGTATACATCTTTATCGGACTAAAATAATAAATTGTATGTATAAAAACTGTTCTCTAAAAAACATTACAAATATTGAAATCTTATAATAAAACTTAAAATTACTAAGTAAAGCATACATTTTATAAATGATTAATATACACAATAAGGTATTTTGTACTGTAAGGTTATTTTCTTATATTTTTTTTATTTTTTGTTACTTGTAACCGTTAAACCTTGTTCTTGTACTTAATGCTTAAAGACATTGTAAAAATGATTATAAATGAAAAACTATTTTGTACATTTGTAATTTTGGAATGGCAACATTTTTATAAACTAATTTAAAACTGACCAAGCCGTCTTTTTTTTTAAATTGTACTTTGTTACAGCTTGTCAAATATTTAATATTAATGTTACTGTTAATACATTAGTATATCTATTGAGTAAAATTGTAGGTGGCCCTCCATATGAGCGCCACTTTATCAAAATTATCATTTGTTCGCAAGCTTGTATTGAGATTCTACCTAAACCTTAAAGTAGACTTGAGACAACTATGTTTGAGGCGGCACAAACCACAACTTAATAACTATTACAGAATACAGCATGTAAAATTAAAACTTAAAAAATATATGGTATTGGAAAATTACTTTTTTTTTTTGTATGACATTACAACTAAGTACGTCAAAGTGCACACCCTGTACATAATTGCAAGTTTTGTTATGTGCATATTTTTTTTCAGTCTTTGGAACTTGTGTGGTGGAGTGTAGAAGGTACTTTATAGCCGCTTCAACAGTGCCATAAGAAACGTATGGTTATCATCATATAAATGGAATGTATAAATCGCAGACTCATAATATATGTGTCCGGATGACAAAGAAATTTTTGAATAAACCAATAAATTACAAAAATTAAATTACAATTTTAAAATCAAACGGACCTACTTCTTTTTCTTGGGTGTTTTCCTTTTCCTGGATCTTGTCTTTTTAGGGTTGTAGCCGAATATCAATTTTGAATTCCATGTGAACTTCTGTGTGAATATAGATGCCAGTGTTATTGGGTCCACAAAATCGTCGTCCGGATCGTTGGCCGTTAATCATACTGTCTCTGGGTTAGTTTCCGGCTTAGGCAGCGCTGCCTCCTGGGTCCTTTCACCCTGCAGCTTAGCATTCTCAGTGACAGCGGGGAAACTGTAATTAATATTATATACATATGAATAATATTCACTAATGTATCACGTATATATAACTTTTATTAAGACACGCTGTGTTAGTATGTATGTGCAAAGCTATTGGCATTAAACAAATTATTTCTCAGGTCTAATATTATATAAAAAAAAATCAAATGATAAATGAACATTAATCATAAAATCATTATGTTTAAATAAAACACTATCCAATGAAATATATAAAATAAAAAAATTCTTACGCGTAAAGAATTTTAAAATTTAAACCATCGCAAAGCATTTTGGTTAACAGTAAGCTGTTACTGATCACTCTTCAATGAAACGAACTATAATAATCACTTATAAATGATATAATTCAGAACACTCGCACTGTATAACACGTAAAACTTATCCCAGCATCAAACAGTCGACTAGATGTAGCTCAGACACTGAGCACACGTCGCAAATCGATAAACGGTGCTATTAAAATGATATTCAAGCTTCTACCCCTAAACTGACGGTGCTAGCAGAGCAATCAACTTTCAACTTTACACACATACATTAAGGTACAATATCGTTTAGCTCAAATATATCTAGGGTTCAGACGGTCGAACCCCTCAGACCCCAGGCTAGACTGCCAACATCCCCGGCGCAAAATCTCCGCGCGGATCAATAACTGCATCCAAACACTATGTCTGGCTTTTCTCAATACATACATATAACAAATGAATTAACCAAGCTACTAACATTTAAAATACAGTGGTATTAATTTAAATTTCAAATATTATGTAGTTTTAATTGTATATAAATAAGAATTTATTGAAAATTTAAATGATATGATAAAGAAATCATACAAAATAAATAGAAAAAATTGAGATAATGCTTTTTTTAGAGACTTTTTAAGGTAGAGATGAATTGCATTTGTCCAAGTACCATTATTTTAAGAGGTGCTCGTCTGCTTTGCGTAGTTTAGTGCATTCTTTGGTAAGAATAAAGTATATTTAGGAACGATTTGAACATTTTATATCTGGCAGACGTTTAAATAAGAGTTGTATTATAAATGTATTTTCATAGAGCTCGTATATTTTTAAATATTTCAAAGGTCATGTGGCAACGAGCAGAGGACGAGGACGAACTGGTAACGACAAAATTTGAATAAACATTCGCTGATAATATATATAAAGAAAATCAAAAAAACAACTCATTTCATAGTCAAACAAAACAGTTCATGTAGATAACAAGAAATGAAACTTAGGATTCAAACGATTTTGATAAAATTAATTATCTACAATACTATATGCGGGAATTGAACCCGTCATTTTTGTCATAGAAAACATGTCAATTTTATATGATAAAGAAATAATGTTCATTAGATATCATGAAATTAACACAAACAAACATACAAACTTTAAACATTACATCGCAGAGCAGCGGCTTGGCAGACAGAATTTAAATCATATACAATCGTGGTTAGAATCGCAAAGTAAATAAATTCCTTGCTAAATAGAGCATATACTATATATAGAACCTCAAATGTTATGACAAAAAAATAAAGTATCTGTTAATGTATTTCATAAATAAAATATATGAATATTTCGTCTCTTATATATCAACAATATAAAATTTCTACTCACTTGTCAACATCCCTGAACTCCGCGTTGGCTTCGGATCGCCACTTATTGCCAACCATGTTCTGAACACTGTAAACAAATCAACACATTAACATTTAACTAATTAAAACATACTGGCAAGTTATAAATATTATTATTGTTTGTAATTAAATAAAAAAAAAGAAATTAAAAAAAAAACGGGTGCTGCAATGAAGGCGGTACTCACGCGTGTCTCATTTGATCGCCTTGGGCGCTGAGTTGTGCCAAATATGTAGCCTGCTTCCGATGATGGTACATATGGACCCGAAGGCATGATGGATTTCGCATACGTTTCTGACATATATCACATTGGAGCGTACCCTCTCTAGTGTCGTGCTTGTCACGTATATGCACTTTAAGATTGTACCGATTCGCGAAAAACCGATGGCATGACGGACACTTAACCCCACCGGTTTTGCAGTTCCATCCTTTATCAAACAGAATTTTTTTATATGTACAACTATTTATTTTTTTATGTCCATTTACGCGTGTTCGCGAATCGCACAATAATTTTCACATACTTACCCGAGTCTTTGGCTGAATCTGGCAATAGGACGTTATTGAACATGTCGCTGTCGAAGTCTATCATGGGCTCGCTGAAAGTGTGTGCATAAAAAAAAATGCAACCAAAAAAAGGGACAAATTAACAAAACAAAACAAAACATAAACAATCAAAAGGAAATTATGAACACTGAAATTAATGGAATAATGTGTGTGTGATATAGAAAATAATGATAGTTTAGTAAGTATATATAGTTGATGAAATAATAAAATCAATTTATATATTTGTAATTTACCTGTCGGATGCGTATTCTGTGTTCTCGGCATGTGTTGGGCTATCGTTGACAGGTCGAGGTTTCTTCTTCATGTTGTAGCTCGTCTTGCCTGGTGTGTTCTTCAATAATCTATTTTTATAAATAAATATTATATAATGAGAATCGCTTTGTATGTTGTATAGTGAGAATTATAAGATGATGTATTTCAAGTATTTTGTGAAGAGAGAATAAATGACTTAAATGCCTTAAATAAAATAAATAAATATATATATATAGTCAACTTCCAAATTTTTCACAATAAAAGTTATTAAACATGAAAATTATTGGCATTTTTTCTCACAATATCTCTTTCTGTATATAATGTATACAAACATTGTAAAATATTAAAGATTCAGAACCTTTTAAGTGGGCTTCGAGTTGCTTCTTCTGCGGGAGGCCCCGAGCTCGCTGATTCTGGTGAGACATCTGATACAGTGGCCTCCTCGGACGGTGGGACCCATTCAGGTAGACTATCACCACCTGGTTCAGGTACTTGCGGACGACCGGTGTTACTCGACTCACTCTCAACTGGCTGAGGTGATTCACTTCTCTAAAATACATTATACACACATTCATAAGTAAATAACAACATTAAACATGAATTTTCCAAAGTTATTTACCTCTCTACCACCGGTTAGGCCTTTGACTTGAAGTAACTCGGCTGTGTGTAAGAAACCGGAGAGCTCTTGCTGTCTCACATGTACTTCTCCGCGGTACATAAATTGGAGAAGCTGTTTCAATTCCTGGTGAGCTACATCCTTTAGTATGACTATCGGATGTTCACAAGGGTTCATCTACGAGATAGGAAGTTTAATAAAAAATATGCTCACTATAAATAAAAATTAGGGTAGGGTTTCTTTAAGATAAATATAAGCATGTCGCATAACTTTGTACAAACAATACTACATAAACAAGTATAACATAACAACTATTATTATTATGTGTGTGTGTGTGTATAATCAATTGTCATTTTTCTTATTAGCTATTATCAAACTATGTACAATGTTTATCATAATTGTATATACTCAGAATGTCATTCTATATAAATAGATAATTTACTTTGTTCATATAAAGCGGTGTATTGCTTAATAATGAAAGGAAAAGTTACTTATGTATATATATGGAAAATATCTGTCTCTTATAAAATATATGTATATAATGTATATGTATGCAGCTATTGAGGAAAATATTTAAGTTGACAAAGGCAATTCACAATGAGTCATACCTTAAACAGCTCCTTGAAGTATGGGCTGCAAACCGAAAGTATGAGCTTGTGAGCGTGAACATACTGCCCTCCCGCCGCTAATGTTACATCCACCAGATCTTCGCCTTCCAAGAGAGCTTGGAAAGATTGAGACAAGTTTGAGTGGAAATCGTTCCACCGTAACGAAAACTGTTCAGGGATCGCCATCTCCGCCTGAAAAATTCCACCCTTAAAACAGACTGACGACGCCCGTCTTTTACGATTAACAAATTTCAGTCGCATTTAGCGTCTAGTTTCTGTACAAATGCACCACTTACTGAAAATCAATCACAAATATAACTGCTTACGTATGCATCTAACTATATGTCTGCGCAAACTGATGGGCGAAAATACATGTTAACTAAGGTATTCCAAGTATTATATTCCTATGGTATGAAACAAATACTTCTGTGTTCTGACTGGCATGGCAATCAATACACGGAAAAGTTCCGTATCAAAATGTCGCGTCCTGTCCCGCTTGCACTAATAATGTGATGAAAGATGTGTTTGTTTTTCTTTTCATGAAATGTTAATTATTATTGATTTATTTTAAAATAATGATATTTATATATTTTAAAAAGTAAAATAATTATAATAACTTACTTTTTGTGTAATTTCAATATATAGTTTTATAAGTTTATCATATTTTTACCACTAGCAATGTCTGACCATTACCACCAAATGGTTTTCGTCTAATCTGTCAATGTCATAAATATGCTGTCGTGTTTTCTGATTAACCAAATAAGTTTTGTCTATATGTTTTTGTAACGTCACGAAGAAAACATGAACTTGGTTTGTTCGTGATTTAAACGACCTCGATCACAGAAGTCTCAGTAAATGTTACGTAGCATAGCGAAACGTGGAGGATGATAATATTTGAAAAGCTATATTAGTTTTGCAAATAACGTTTACTCAGACGAAATGTCGGCACATAGCTCATCCGAGGATGCGGAAGCCGACAGGATACTTATGATAAAAAAGATATTAAGTGCCGCTTTTTACGCTTTTGCCTCGTTTATGATAACTGTGGTTAATAAGACCGTACTAACTTCATATGCATTTCCGTCGTACCAAGTGTTGGGATTGGGACAAATGATAGCTACAATTATAGTATTATGGTGTGGTCGGTCCCTTAAAGTTGTGCAGTTTCCGCCTTTAGATAGTGGGATAGCTCACCGCATATGGCCCTTACCAGTGATTTATCTTGGGAATATGGCTACAGGTCTCGGTGGAACTAAAGAGCTGAGCCTTCCTATGTTCACAGCACTTAGACGCTTCAGTATACTCATGACCATGATACTTGAAAGATTTGTACTCGGGATCAAAGCATCATGGCCTGTCCAAGTCAGTGTAATGGCAATGGTTGGAGGAGCATTATTAGCAGCGGTAGATGATGTTACATTCTCTTGGACAGGTTACACTTTAGTGCTGTTAAACGATGGATTCACAGCAGCGAATGGTGTGTACATGAAAAAGAAATTAGACTCAAAGGACTTGGGCAAGTATGGCCTTATGTATTACAATGCACTATTTATGATAGTCCCAGCCGCTGTTGTTGCTTGGTGTACTGGTGACTTGGAACACTCTGCTGCTTATCCTCATTGGTCCAATATGCTGTTCCTAGCACAATTCCTGATGTCGTGTCTCATGGGTTTTGTACTTTCATATAGTGTGATGTTGTGTACTCAATACAATAGTGCCTTAACCACAACCATTATAGGCTGTCTTAAAAACATTCTCGTGACATATTTGGGTATGATCATCGGTGGGGACTATGTGTACAGTTTGCTTAATTTTGTGGGACTTAATATAAGTGTATTGGCGAGCTTAGGCTATACTTATGTTACATTCAAACGTAAACCAAATAACTACATGCTGTTGAATGAGGCTAATAGTCGAGTTAATACAGTATGATCGAATTATTGAGAATCAGCATACTCTATTATATACAATTTCATTTGTGAAAAATTTTATAGATATCGCTGGAAGTAATTTGGTTAAGATTATATTTGAAACTAAGTGATTTGTAATAGGAATACAGAAATTGTTGGTATAAAATAATAATTTTTACGCACATTGACTTATACATGTATTTTTCAGAAATTTTATAATGAATTTGAAATTATTTATAAAATAGGTAATGTGGGCGCATCAATGAGAGTTAAATGTTGTGTAAGAAAACAAATAGTTTTTTAACCAGTGAGAATATGTGTAGACATATTTGTTACAAAACTAGTAAAACCGGCCGGTTTGTTTTTATATTTAATGATAAATTTGAAAACAGTGTCTAGATATTTGTTTAATCTAAATGATTACTTAATCATATCTTTAACAAGCAATAACTTTAGGTGATTTAAGTATATAAGTAGAAATTTAGGTTTTTTTTTTGTTTTATACATTTACATAGACTGTAAACCAGTGGTATAAATATTACCTAAACGAACAAATTGTTTATTCTTTGTCAAAATGGATATTGTATTAATCACGAAAATCAAAGATTGTAAGCAATTTTTTATGATTATGAATTTAATGAAACAGTTTTGTATAATATAGATAATTAAATGGACCTAATATACTATGGTTGAAAATTGTAACATCTTTTCAATGTCCTCATATATATTGAAAAGATTTTACACAGGGGATTTATGTGTAATGGGTAATTTATAAGGATTTATTATATTATTTATAATTATTATGGATTCTCTTTAATATACTATGGTTAATTTTATAACATCCAAATACCCTATTCTTTGTCTGGTACTATAACAGTATTTCAAATATTTTTAGCATAAAATATATCTTATCAACCAGTTGATTTATGTTGAAAAATACCCAGTAAAATACAACTTATATACATTTTTGTTATCTTGTGTGTGATTTGGTTATACTAATTGCCGTTTATTAAAATAATAATGGTTGGAAAAATTTGCTATGTACATTTATTAATGACATTATATGTTGTTCATGTATATGCTTAAAGTTTGATGTTTAAAATAAATACGACTATACATATATGTATCATAAGAATCATAATTCTACGCACTTTTTTTAAAGTGCTGTTTATTAGTCAATTGTGATAAAGATAATAAACATTTAATATGCATTTTCTTATTTCTTTTCATTTAATGCAGTCACGGCTGTGTTATCGCAAATTTTATAGCTTGGTTTAAGTGCTCGGCACAGTTTAATAAGTTTTCATTGTCGGATAATACCGATCATCATAATTTAACCGAATGATACAGTATTAATGTAATTTAATACGAAGAATGATGCTAATTAAAATAAAATGTTTCCTGTCATGAATATAAAAAGGAAACGATAAGGTTTTGACTATTATTTTGTTATATTTATCTTATCTGTAATTGTAAAATAATAGTCGTTGAAGGTCGAACGTGTGCTATGAATTTGTCTATGCATTGGATATATGGTTTTTAAAAACTTCAAAGGCACGCATGCGCAGTGACGTTGTCATGTATGTGTAGATATGTCTAGTGGAAATGCTAAACGGCACCCTTCGCGACAGGCTGATATTTTTTTATTCTTTTTTATAACGTATGCACACTATACAGCTACATGATGCTTGAGCGTCCTATGCGACGTGATCCCACATCTACTTTGAAACTTTTTTTTTTCAGTTAACAATTTTGAACAGAATGTGACGTGTTGTCAGTATGACCGTAGCTATTCAACGAAATATCTCTTCTCGTTACCTTTGAAATGTTTTCTTTGAGAAAAGATTTAATCGTTCAATTATAAATGTCTAGACTATAATCTGTCTATGTATGTACCATCGTTCTGGTACATTTTATAATATTTTCTAACGCCAAATTAAGCTATACGTTTTAACGTTTTAAAGTATTACTACGTAGTTTTACTATATGTTTACTTATTTAACTTTCCCGTTATCTTGTAAATAGGCAAATATTCACATATGTATCATTATCTGTTCTTTAAATTAGTGAATTTTGTAGCCGTGTAACTTTTAATCACAAAAATAAATAAATAGAGAAACATGTTTTTGCCTCAAAACTAGATGTCTTATGTGTAAAGTAGTTTTCAGCAATATTAGATATAAAAAAAAATTTTTAGTATTTTTATGTAAAAAAAGAAACATTTATCTAGAAAATGTCTATTACTTTTTATTAATTATTATTGAGAAAAAAATCCGTTTCGCTTAACTAGATAATAATTATATGAGGTACAATTTCATAAACAAAAAATTTTGGCGAAAAAAAAGTCTTAGAAACGCCATGATGCTTCCTCTACAATATACATAGTAGAAACTGAGTATAAGTGTAATCCAAAGACAGCGCTGCTTTGAATATTCAAAGGATTTTGTGATAAATGTATAATTTCATAGTTGTTTAATAAATAATATTTCATCCATTATAATAAAATTAAATAAATATAACATTAATAGAACTATAAGTATACCGAAAATAATGTCACTCACTTTGAAAGTAAACATATGAGGTGCATGGTTTAAATAAAAGCCACATAGGTTTGCATATATAACTGTACCAATAATATAGGTATACCTAATATAACACCACAGATATACATCGTAACACTACTTACGAAAAGTTTAAAGTCTTTTAGTTATAAATCTACAAACTATGAATGGAAAACTACAAATACTCCGTATGACGACGAAAATTGAGACTAAGGCGCAGTCAACAGCGAATTAATTGACTTATGCATCATCGCAAAACCGGAATCACAAAATGTCATGAAATTTTAATGTTTTGACATTCCAGAGCGTACCGTAACATTATTTTTATTCTATATTGTTGGTAATAGACTCATTATTGATATATGATGTATGTAATTTGTGGAATGAATACAAAAATATACAATTTTAATATATAGTGTATAGGTACGGTTTCTACGTATGAATTTTTAATCCGAAATATGTACGTTGTAACGTTAGATTTCTTCATTTTTTCGTGCACCGACATACACTTGACCGGTTTTAGACATGCTTCTGAAGAGACCAAAATAAGAAACGGTTCACCTAAGGACGTGCATTCAAAAATATATGCTACATACAGACACCTCAGGAAGGCTTTATGAAATATAAAAAAATATTTTTATAATATGATGCATGAAATTTTCTTTCAAATGAACGTATTCATTATGCGCGTCAACGAGTACTTAAAAATATAAAGCATTTCAAATGTTTAAATATAAATTTAGTACATTTGTCCAATTAGAATTATTTATTTTAACTTTATTATGTTTTAAAAGGATTCTGCTAGTATCGTATATATTCTGTAGCCCTTTTTAGACTAATACTTGTATGATAAATGAGTTAAACTTTAAGTTTAAATCTATTTCGTGTGTTTTTCAAGTTATGTTTTACGTCATTGGTAAAATACCTACTTATCTACTTACGTTATAATCAGCTGACTGGTTCGAGGAACTGTGACTCACCATCTCATATAATTACTAGGAATACTTAAAATAATATGTCATTCTTTTTTTTAGGTACTTACTGAATAAATAATTATAATGAAGATATCAAAAAACATGAAATATGTACACTTTCCGATTACTCTAACTCCAACAGTTAACTTTTGTTTGCCCTTATCACAAGTTTAAACCGTAGACTACAAACCATGAGTTTCCAGTTAATTTATAGTAAGCTTACTGGTTAAAACCGCCAACGTAACTGTAACCACGAAATTTTCACATTTGGTTCTAATTTAACCATTAACATTTAACCACCGAAATAATACAAACTATAATTAAATAGCGTTTCTTACTGAATTTTTGTAATATATTTTACAATTTAGAGTTTACGTTCTATCTTTGATGTTCCCTTGCGCAAGACAATTTTACTCACCAGTACGCTCACCTCAAATTTTAATCGTCAATCTACTAGCGAGCGTGAATAAAAAAAAATCATTAATGAGTCTGCCTATATAACATAAAGGCAGGTTTTTGAAAAAGCTTCGTATTTATGCATGCAAGAGATTAAAACAGTTTGTCCCAGTCTGTTTTTTCTTGAGTTATAACTTGGGTATCTTCAAGAAAATGGTGAATACCTACTAGGATAGCGCGTTCAAAACTTCCGACTTCATTTTCACCTTGCAACGGGTGGAATAACAGTCAAGCACTATCCAGTTGTGACGATGCGAACTTGCAATAAACATAACGACTAAATAAATTAAATATGAGAAGAAAGTTACAGGATTAAATTCCTTTCCGAGTTTCAAAACATGCTTATCACAAGTATAAACAGATGTTAAAATGTATTGAATGAAAAAAATATCATTTTTACTGCGAATGACGGACCTGAACATTTAATATTAATTACAAATCAATAGCTCCCCGTTTCTTCCCCGAAAAAGGGGTTTGGTAAGACAGAACGTGATCCTATAAGGGTTCTGCATTTCTTTCGATTCTTATGCAAAATGATGAAAGCTATTCTAGAAACTTCCATCACTATTATTAATTTGCACCCACTGTATAGCATATAAGTTCAGTTTTGTAGTTTTATACTTTATATATGGGTAGGTTTGGGAATATTTAATTAAACAGCAATACTTCTTTGTGTGTAACCAGGTTAGGGTAACGTCCGGAACTTAAGGGGCGATGCAATATTGAAAAGTTTTAATTATGTAAATCCAATGTAGTATATTCTGAAATAAATACAATTAGGTATGTATATATAAAAATTTAAATCTCATATCATAGTGGTCCAATTTAAAATTACGAATATAATTTCTGTAAAGCCTTTTATAACTTTGATATTTTTTATCTGCCTCAATTATGTAATTTAGGACTCTGTGGTAAAGGAATAAGGTATTTTTTACAGTTTACAGTTTTTTATCTGCACCAAACTGTCATACGAAAGTCTACAACTAGATAGAGTTCATTATTTCAGTTCTAGTCACAATTATTTTAACACGAAAGCGACATCTAGTAATTCAGTGGTCCGATTGATTTTATTTTGGGTGGTGGTACAACTACAGATGGCGTCCCAGTTTCTGTGTGCGTAATCTTTATTGAATCAGTCTGTAATAGGGACTTTCTCTTTAGTGACTTCGTAACATAAATGTTCTTCACTTTATATGCATTATGAGAAGGATACGAGAGTTGTTTGAATAAAACTTAATGACGTCATCTCTACGGTCATAACAATCGTCTCCTGTATTATATTTGAAATGTTTCAGTTTTATCATTAAAAGCATTACCGTGCTCCCTTTAATTTATATTCATTAAAATATATAAAAAAAAATGAGGTGAAATTTCGATCCGTCCGTCGTACGGCTTGGCTAACATGTGCATAACCTAACATATAGGTATCATTGTGTCATTCGGCTTATAATTACACTCGCCTTTTCACACACGTTTAGCTTTCATGTGAAATTAAACTGGCGTGTTGCGTTTGCGGTAATTAATTTATATTATATATCCGCATTTTTTATTAGGAACTTTTAGTTTTGTTAGTAAGGAAAGTTAAATGAAACTTTTGAGTTAGGTATCGATATTTATTACATAAATTATAGCCAAGCTTACATTTTCATTGATTGTATCTAATCAAATTTAAAAAAAAAATTAACTGCCTAAGTTACATTTCAATCTTTTGCAACTACGCAAGGGCACTGAAGGTTACTCTGGTACGACGCCACTACATCTCGTTTTCCGACTCGACGAACGGCAAGCTTGTTCCGATTATTATAATTAATTTATTTTTGAATACAAAATTATATCGGCTCAACTAAACTACAAACAAAAAAAATTATCAGTGCCCTTGCAGTAGCTCTATAAAAAAAATCTTATAATAATATTTTTTATACTAAGATCACTATGAATTATAAGTAATTAGGCTATGATTGGTGTTACTACAGTTCAACTATTCGATTTAATAAATGACAATATAATAATAATAATTAATTAATTAGCTCTACGACAAGATTCGCAAAAGCATTTTACATACTAGATTTTTCGTTTTAGATTTGAGTATGGCTTCATCTCTTAATGTATCACAAGTTAAAAAAATGTATGACCTTCCCTCATCAAATCAATACTTATAACATATAAAAAATTGAGACTATAAATCTTTAATATTATATGAATAATAACTGTTTCTATAAGTGTGTAGAGCTCTTGTAAATTTACACATATCTACTACCTAAGTAATGTATAACTAGCGATGTTAAATTAAGTTTTACATTTAATGAGAGATTATGAGGAAAAATTGTATAAATATACAAACTATTTATTTTAAAATATTTTCTTGTACGAATGTCTTATTACCTTCTAAGGGAAGGCGAGTTTATTGCTTTAGGCTTACAGTTCATTATTGGAAACACATTTTACAGACATTATGTATATATATAACTAAAAAAATATATACATAAATATAATAAAAAGGAATTGAAAATAATAAGTGCTATTTTATTGCAATCATTAAAATATAAAACCACATTGTATATAACAAAATTCTACCAAACGTTTACATAAGACAACCGGCATTCTTATTATAAGTTTGTATCGTCACTGCTTACGGGATAACAGTTTTTCACTCATAAAACTTCGCACATTGAAAATTGAATGAGAAACTTGAAACGTTTTGTATGCAGTGCAGCGATTAAAACTTAGAATAAGCGTACGGACATGTTATGAATAAATGAATATCGTTCCCGTATTGTGTATCAAAAATCTTAGCATCCTCTATTCATCATATTAATGAAGGTCATAAATAACGCGTTCTCCGACCTATTATATAATTCTAATAAAAATATTATTTCTACATTGAATATTGGATATGATAATTGGTGTTATGACCGACTGTCTATGTACAGTTTGCATACAAATCACAATTATACGAAATCTAAATGAAAATTCACATCTTGTTTAATGTATGATCTATTACATTTTCTTTAATGTTCTCGTTGTATTCAGAGCAAAGATTTAAAACGTTTATCATTGGAAGACAGTGACAAAATGTTTTTGATTGTGAACAAAATTCTGTCAATAAAAAAACTCTTTGCATACCGTACGTACTTCGACAATTTACTCTACTTACACGTACTTACAGCCTATTTAAGAATCATTGTGAGAACATATAGTTCTAAAGTCTTCTTCGTGTGTATGTTTAATCAAAATACGTTTAAACTCGAAATTGACAGATTAATAATTAATTAACACTATTACATATTAATGAAACATTTCTTTGTCATTAAAAACTTTAGTCTCAAGAGTGTATCTCTATTGTGGAAATACAAAAAAAATTTGTTCGTTGAAAAACTAGTCTAAAAGACGACATGAAAGGAAGAGTTTTGCGTATTTTCTTGGGATTGTTTATAGTGGTTTGCAAGCTTTCGGGCAAAATCTTAGTTTTGTTCGTCGACAAAGGAATATTTTTCATATGTTTTACTTCTATAACTAAACTCTTCAAAATTATTATGACTTATGTGATTTAAATGGCAGGTATAACGTATGTTTTACAAGAATGTAAAATTATCGTGTGTTTGAATCGGTAATATAATGTATGGATCAAGCTAATGTACCTTCAAATCGAATGATTGGAACTGATAAATGGTGTGCATTGACCTTTTCTTGACAACTTGGTGTCCGTTCAGCAAATATCGACAATGACGATTCTAGTAATGATTAATTTAATGAATTCTTACAAAGGAATTACACTGTTAGGCGATTCTATTCTACTCTGATGATTAAATATTTACAAAAAGAACATATACAGGAACCGAGAGAAAAAAAAAACAGCTACATTAATGCAAACTAACTACGACAAGTGTAAATATCGTTGCGATAATTTTAAACCGCAATATGGCATGTTTTACTTTAGATGTATTAAATTTCAATGAACCGTGGTTCTTTTCACTTCTTAAATATCACACGTACAAAATTTTAAACGAATTAGAAATCATATTATACATATATATATAAATATATGTGTGTGTATATTAAGGCATGCTTTACATTCCCTATTAAAATAAAAAAATATTTTCTATACATTAAGAAAATACGTCAGGCAATGACTGGTATAAAATATAAATTTATATAAAATAATATGTTTCGATATACAAACAGGGAATATGTTATAAAAAAAAAAGACAAGGTATCAAATCATGTGTATGACTGAAAAACTATAATAAAACTAAACTACAAATGCTTATTAAATAGAATTCGCAAGCTGCACATGTTATTATATTAAAAGAGAGTCGCCCAGCCGTTATACATTCAATACGTTATAATTTCACTAATGTTGCATAGCATGATAGAAGCAATCGGAGCCATGACCCTAATAAGCTTGGAATAGAAATGAAGCCCTTAAACCTATGTTGGCAGTATTATTTTTAACCTACAATATCTCTACCCTTCCAAATTACAGATCTAAAATGAATATATCCATTAAATATAAAATTATCAGTACATCACACAAGATACAGAGTTTACTTTGAGTGTGAACCTTCATAAGTATCTCATTTGACATTTTCAAGATGATGTGTACTACACAGCCATAAAAATACAAGAATTACCCAAACACAAATTATATATAAATATATAATACCTTTTTTTTAATGAAAATTAAAGCAGGGTTTGGTATAACAAATATTATATACCCTATATACATGTAAATAAGAAGAGATAAAAGTACACTTAAAATAATAAATTACACCGTGGCAAGTTTATAAGCTAATTAAGTACAGAATTTGATCACAATGGCAGTATAAAATTGAATTTTGATAAATAAAATTTTATAAGTGGCATATACTAAGACATTCTTACCCTAAAACCTGGTATCTTAACATTTAAAATATTTAATTTTTATAAACACAAATATATCAAAATTATTACAGCAAATTTAGCTACCTACCATATAGTTATACTTAAGACAGATATTACAATTGATAGCCACAATATTGCTATATATTATTTTCATAGCTTAGTATTTTCACATATTAAAATGTTTTTTCAACTTCCATAACCAAATAAATATTGGTGAAAAAAGCTGCCTAACAAAGAATGGATCCTTAAAATAATTAAATGGCCATATTATATAAAATTAAATAAATTGTTGCAGGCCACATTTATTTATAATAATATATATATGTATATAATTTTGATATAACAATGTCAAATTATCATAAATATGTTCATATTTAAAACTTGCTATGGCTCTTTGTTCGTTGTACAGTCACTACAAGACGGTAGTTTCATAAAGCTATGGTAAAAACAGTTATTTCCTTTGAGACTTATCACTCCGTTCTGTGTCAAAGTATGATCTTTCCTTAAAATCTATTAATAACAGATAAGATGTATCCATTACACATTAAGTCTATTCCTATGACAGTCCAATTTATTAGAAAAATATACAAAATGCACTTTTATTTATATAGATCACTGTATTTGAATCACTTTTTTATGAGAAACCAAAATCCAAGAATCTTTTTTTTGTATGTTCACATTTACACTCCCTACATTTAATTACACCAGAAAACCGTAAGGACCACTGACGCGTATTTGAGCACGCATACTTTGAACACTGTTCATGATCTTCTTTTGGTGGCCGACTAATGTCACACCTAAGGATGCAAGTTGATGAACTGTGAGGTCCACCACAGCATTCATGTCTGTGATGCCAGCTGTTCTGAATTTTTCAATGTATCTAGACATTTTGATACATTCCAACCATTCTTCCACGGAAGAAAATTGTATCATATCTGGTGTGTCCCCTGCAAGTGGATCTGCTGAACGATTTTGAGCAATCTTTCTTAAAGTGTCGGGACAACGAATAAGTTTGTCTAAAGTTTTCACAATACTCGCAAAAGTGGGGCGATGTGTACGTTCCTTTTGCCAACAATCAAGCATAAGCTGATAGACAGCCTCCGGACAATCCATGGGTGCTGGTAGCCGATACCCCTTTTCTATGGACTTAATGACATCTTGATTGCTCCAATTCCAGTAAGGACGCTCTCCAAAGCTCATAACTTCCCAACAAACAATGCCCATGGACCAAACGTCACTAGCTGAGGTAAACTTTCTGAAAGCTATAGCTTCGGGGGCCGTCCAACGAACGGGGATTTTTCCACCTCGCGTAGTGTAAGCTCCATCTGCAGTCGATTCAATTTCACGAGACAACCCGAAGTCCGCTATCTTACAAACAAGTTGTTGATTTACTAGGACGTTGCGGGCTGCTAGATCTCTATGAATGTAATTCATTTCTGATAAATATTGCATGCCTGTAGCAATACCGCGCAGCATACCAACTAATTGCAAAACACGAAATTTGCCATCATTTGCACGTAGAAATGTATCCAAGGAACCATTTTCCATGAATTCCGTTATTATCATTATCGGATTACATTTCGTAACAACACCTTGCAAAAATATCACATTTGGATGTTCAAATTGTCCCATTATAGAAGCTTCAGCTAAGAAGTCTCTTCTAGCTCTTTCAGTTGATCCAGGTTTTAGAGTTTTAATAGCGACATCTATTTCTTGCACACCGCTAGCCGGCAACTTTAATTTTCCTCTACAGACATCTCCAAATTCACCACCTCCAATAATTGCTTCAATTGTTATACATGATGCATCAATTTCACGAGCGAACTCTCTTACTGCTTGGTTAGGATCTTCATAAGTGTGAGGATCGATATATGTTCTGGAACCAGTTCCTGCAAATAAAGGTGTTGTTGCATTGCTTCCTGTTTTTGCTGGTCTGTCAGGGCCAGTATAAACCTCTCCGTTACGATAATTCAATGCATTACAATCACTTGGTTGCTTTTTGTCACATTCATCATCGGATCGCGACCGTAGGAATAGAACAGTTGCAATAATGGCAATAACTGAAAGTACAACAACAGCTACCATAACACCAGCAACCAAACGGACTTGAGCACCTTCTTCTTCTCCTACAAATGATGTTTCAAGTACTGATCCTGTACGAGCATAAACAATACCGCTCAGTTCACCCCAGCCTTTTTTCATTTTAGCCCTAACTCTTATGCCATATTCAGTGTCTCTTTTCAGACCTGTTATTATGACATGTGGGTCTTTAGTAATCCTAACAGTGGCGTTTGCACTTTTTTCCATATGATCTTTAGGGAAACATTTAACTTCATAGCTTTCTATACTATCGTCTGGGTCAGATAAATCAATGGGTGGTGGGTTCCAAGCTAAAGATAACTTGTCACTTTCAACGCTTACTACTCTCAGTTTAGTTATTACACTAACAACAGATGCTTCAGTAACTGCTGTTATTTCTACCTTCTTTGGTGATTCACCAGTTAAGTCAGATACACCATTTAAAGCGAATACTTGAAATTTATATTCTGTTACTGGATCCAATCCCATGATTGTAACCCTTGTTGAGTTTAACCCAGATGAAGCAGGTCTGTACTCGATATTAGGAGCACAATTTGTACAATGCACTTTGTAGGTAACATCACTTCTACCACCTGTCACATGAGGTGGTTGCCATGCTAAGGAAATGGAAAATTGATCAGCAAAAGTGACAGTCAAATTATCTGGCGCAGATGGTGGTTGAGTACAGGGTACATTTTTTGGATCTTTCTTTGCCCTAAAGAATCCTGGGACACATTTGCATTCTACTGCAGCAAAGTCAGTTGATTCAGAGTAATCAGGACATGGTATGCACGATTCATCACCGGTATGTGCTTTAAACTTCCCGGGTGAACATTTATTACATATTTGATTATTGTGATCTGGCTCATATCCGGCACGACATTTACATGATCCACTTGGAAGGGTCCACTTGCCATCTCCTTTGCATAAGTATATAGGGGCAGTATCTCCAGCCACTACTTCAGCATGTTCAACACATGTACCATTGGCCTGTTCTATAACAGTTACTTCTTTGCCTGTTGGGGTAGCGGGAAACTTTGCAAAGTTGATAGTTACTTCAGGACATGTAATGTAGTAAACTTTTACAGCTAATATGGAAATGCATGCTCCTTGATCTCTAAATGCTATGTAAACACCTCTCTTGGTAACAGCAATGCTTTTCACTTCAGTGTTTATATCAACTTCTGAATTTGTATTAAATCTACCCTCCCCAGCAGCTATGCGGCCAACTAACTTATAGCTTTCAGGTTCCCAAGGTGGTTGTTCCCTAGTCGCAACATCGAATTCATAATAGAGAAGGCTAAAAGTTTCCTTACAGCTCAGGGCATTTCCTGGGAAAAGTGAGCAGTCTCTGATGGTAAACTGGATTTCAATGTAAATACGATTTGCATTTCTTCTTTCTATAAATGGAGTCCACAGCCAATTATTGACGTTATGATGAGCAACGTCGCAGACAACGTAAGATCGCCAATAAATTTGTTTCTCAAAATTATTATAAGATTCTTCCAACCAACCTGGTGTACTTGCTAATGGGCCGTAAGGATAACGCGTCCAACCTAGAGTCCGCTCCGTGGTTGTATCAAGCAACATAACTTGTTCACCCCGAACACTCGAAGCGGCTATTACAGCGGCCGCCACCGCTGTGCAAATCCACATCATCTCGACGACATAACAATAAAGCAATGCAGAAAAGACAATTTTTATTAAAAAAAATGTAATAAAACCACAACGTTCTTACTACATAATGACAAAAACGAGTCCTCGTTATTAAAGGCTAACACTTCACTTTTTGTCCAAGATAAAGGACTGTCCCGTCATTTCTCTACGGCAATGCACTTCAAGTGTTCGCAACGAAAATGATGAAAGTTTATAATTGAAAACACCAGACACTCACTATATTTAAGTCCAACAAAGAAAACAGTGATTTCAAATAACCGATTCTCATATATTACACATAAAACCGCATTTTTAATATTTATTGATCCCGCAATAACGAGTCCGAATCCAACTTTCCTGACATGGAATGATGGACGCGCAGCACAGCTATGTGTTGCTATATTCTATAGTAATTTTTGTACAACAACTGTTGCCATGTGCCAGACTTTACCTAGGGATCAAACAATGTGCAAAACGAACAATTAATTAAAAACACAATACATTTACATCAATGTTTTATGTTACTTTTATTGTTTTCATAGATAGTGCAAACAAATTAAAGAACACTGATGTTATTATAGTTAGACGAAAAATATTCACAGATAAATCAATGAAAAGTGTTGCCGTTCGTACATTGTGAGATCGAACTTCAGGGTTCCTGTATTTGAAAACTCTACAAAACATATAAAAACAAGTTTCCTTATTAAAATATTTGGGACCTTGCAAAAATATTCTTCTATTACAGCAAAATAACGTGGGATACAGATTGGGTAGGATTTAATCATTTTTTAACAAACTTGTTCTAAAGTAAATAAAGTTTGCCGAAGGAAAATACATCAATTAACTTACATTATTATTATTATTATCAGTCCCTTGTAATTCTCATATTAAACGAATTATCTGACTTAAACCAATATAAAAGTAATTTTGACCTATACCATTAAATAAAATTGAAACCTGCCTTAAATAGACCAATAACATTTAAGTGGTCTACAGTTTTGCTCCTCAAGCTCAAGAGATATATTTGAAAGCTCAAGAGAGATTTGGAATAAACATTTCTCTTACACATTTTGTATTCACCCAACTAAATAGTGCATTTCATACAATAATATGCATTGATATATGTTATCAATCAATGATTAGTTTTTATATGTATATATTTTTTTCTACCAAAACTTTAACTCCTGTAAATTTTGATGAAAATAATAGATATCAGCTCTTTATAGGGAAAAGTAATAAAATAAATTTAAATTGGAAAACCATTTTATTACAAGACCATACATTATTTCTTATTTATTATATTATACATTATTATTATACAATTTATACATTTAGCAACAAAATTCCTTTTTATAGTAAATAGTAAAAGTAATTATAAACTTTGAACTTAAATTTTATTATAATAACAATTAAGAAAAACACAACTTGTGACTTTCGATAGCATTGTGTAAGTCTAATAAGCTTTTATATACACACATATGAGATTGCTCGGCATCTGTTTCCTCGGTTATAAGTACAGCATTCCACCCAGCCTTCATCGCTCCCTCATAATCTTTAACAAAGTCATCTCCAATGTGGAGACATTGTGAACCACATGTGATCCCATTTATTCGCTCTTGGGCGATTTTAAAAAGACGTTTGTCAGGTTTACTGAAACCTATATCATAAGATGTAAGAATAAATTCAAAGCTATCATCTATATTCAAATTATTTAATATCTTATGAAGGCGAGGGTCATAATTCGAGATAACTCCTAGGGCAATACCATTTTTACTAAGCAATTCCAATAACTCATCACATCCATTAGCTTTAACAAAACATTTAGTTGATGTAAAATCTTCTATCAACTGTTTTGATATCTTATTAATACTAGATATTGGAAGTTTGTCTCTAAATGTTTGTTTTATTATTTCATCCCACCAATTCTGCCATTTGATGCTCTGCTTTCCAAAGTTGGGATGGTGTTTCATAAGTTGTGTGTAACTTTTTTTAAAATCCTGTTTTATTTGTTTACCATCGACCTTAAATCCATGCTTTTCAGCCACAATGGCGTAGTAATCCCAAGGCGGTACACGGAATTTCATCAAAGTATTTGTTGCATCGAATGTTATTAATTTTATACCTGGCAAGATCATAGTAATATCAGAATATTGAAATGGAAACAAAAACTTGCGTTGTTTTTATTCAATACTACTTTGACACATTAGTTTTACAACGTGAATTATATAATGAATTGAATTATTGAACATACCAATTATAAACGCTTAAGTGTCATCAATTAGTTTAACTTTAGTAATTCTGGCATATAATATTAATGTTTATGTTTTCAAGAATAAGAACCATCTATCGGGAATGGTCTAAAGATATTTTTTTTATTTAAATGCCTAATATGTAAACAGTATTTAATTATTTTCGTTGTAATTGACAGTATTTTATCAAAACAGAGCCGTCATTCATAGACCTAAGTGAGTAGGTAATTCTTATTAATCTTCATTTCGTTACTGCTACGAACTACAATATTTTGTATTCTATGTAAATAAATAATCTATGGCGCTATTGTTAAAATATAGTATAAAATATACTGCAATATGTAATATTAATGATTTTTTATTCTATTGGTAATTTAATAAATCTTAAAACTGTTTAAAATATACTTTTTGTTTGATATAAAAAAAACAATATTAAATTTATATATTTAAATTTTATTTTACATAAAAGTATGAATATTTTTTTCAATAATGAGACAAATTTATGTATTCATTTTAATCAAAGAACATTTAATATTATAAAAAGAAAATTATCCATATATCCTGTGTATTAATTTATATATATAAATGTATATGTGTGTATAAAGTTTAATTACGCATGGCTAACGACAACTGTTTTTCAGAGTTCAGACAATCGATGGAACCTCGTGTGGGCGGGCTTATAATAGAGTGAATTGGCAAAATTTTATGGTTAGACAAGATTTTTGGATTTTTTAATTTTTAATCTTAATTTTCATGTAATGTTCAATGTTCAAGATGGCGAATGTTGTAATGTATCATTGCGCCGGCGATCACAATTGACAATTACCTTCAAAGTATATTTGGTAAACATTTTGTTTAAAGATAATAAGTACCTACTTAATTTTCTTTTTATTTTGTATTGCACTGAAATCTAATTCATTACGTTTTCACTTAGCGAAGTCGTTAAATCTGTGAATAGCTTTGTTATTGTTTGCTCATCTTTTTTTTACAACAAACTTGATCATTAATCAAAGATTTGCGGCATGTTCTGTTCATTTATTATTATTTTTTACAGTCTATCATGAATTATTTGTTATAGCATCAGTTAATTTCTTGTTTTGTTTCTCGAAGTAATCGCAACATGGAGTCCGCGGGCGACTGGTGTCTTATCGAAAGTGATCCTGGCGTGTTTACGCAACTGATTAAGAAATTTGGTATGTTTACTATACACTATATTCATTAAACAGAAATTTTCGTAGGTAGATTGTTTTAAACGTATAAGATGTGCACAATATATTTCGCCAGTGTAGTGTAGAATTGAGGAGATGAACAGAAATCTTACTCTTATTCATATATTTATCAAAAATTATACAATTTTAAACTAAGGTTACATATTCTATTTCTGTATAATCTTATGTTATACCTATTTTTTGACACACCATAAGAAAAGTGGATTTAAAAACCATGCAACTTGTTAGACATGTGTCACCAACAAATATATCACTTAATAAATGTAAAGAAAACATAAGTTTAAAGTACCATGTAAAATTAAGTTAATAATAAAATATATACTGATAATTTCAATAGACTTCTTAAATCTTTTGTCCGTCAATGTATTCTTTATAAATTATTTAATAACATAATAAAGTTGTAAAAGTACTAAATTGTGTGTAGTATTGTTACAAGTACATTTATATTAACAAAATGTTGACTATTCCTTCATGAGGGTAACTTGGAAATATTCAAATATTTATAAGTATTTGATCCACAGCTTACATCATGTAATGTGAAAAGAAACAATTTTAAAAGTCGGGATTCATGAAAATATACAAGGATTAACTAATAAATAAATATTAATATTACCATTTGTTGTAAAACTAACATAACTGTAAAACATGGCCAGCTTACAATAAAACATATTACATCACTAAAATTAAATAAAAACTAATGAATTCATTAATTTTAAATGAATGTTTTGTTTTTTGATATATGAACAGAACATTATGTCAATTATCAGTCAATTAACAGAACATTTTGTCAATTATCACTTATATTAAATAATATAAACTATTCCATTCTATTCCAAAATTACATTAATTATTAAAAATCATATCATTTTAGGTGTTAAGGGTGTCCAAGTGGAAGAGATGTGGACTTTTGATGACAGCATTTTTGATAACTTGAGGTAAAAATCTATTTAAAATGACTTGATGAATTGATTTGATTTTTGAAATGGTAATATCTTAATGGAGGGTAAAGTAACGCGTTACGATTTGTAACGTAACGCGTTACGGCCCCACTGATCAGGTTTCCATGCCTTTCATCAGCGGCAAACATGTTATAACTTATAAGTTATGTTCAATTTATAAGATTATCAATTTAACATATATAAAATTTAAGGTTACATACATAACACAAAACTCATACTTTCATTTCTATATTTTAATGTGTATAAAGTAATTAAATTTTTATGATAAGAATATGTTTCAATAAAAAAATCTGTTTCAGACCTGTCCATGGATTGATATTTCTGTTCAAATATTTGCAACACGATGAACCTCCACATCCCGTTGTCAAGGACAGTCGATTGGAGAAAATATATTTTGCTAAACAGGTACGCTCCTTATAAGGTTGACTCGGTGAAGTTATACGAAACAAAAATGAAATATTAGTATATATTCAGTTTCATACTTGTTCTCTTCGCTAGAAGAAAGAGCTCTTGCTGCAAGTTGATTGAAGCAACCTCAGTGTTTTGGTACCGAACAGTTTTTGTGAACATAATCTCCGTTTTCCGTGTCCAAAATTTTAATTGCGAGTCCAATTTAATATTTTTTAGAACAATTAGCCCATACCTGGGACATTGAACATGAAAAATCTAGATTCTATCAGACCTTGGTTGTAAGTATAGCAGTCGCTTCACTCAATTATAACCTTTGAATCTTTCGAGCAATCTAACAGGTTATTAAAAAAATAAGAAATGCTTAACTATTTCACCAAATTGAATATTTAACAAGAGTTGTATTTTAGTAAATTTTTTTGTGACATTTATATTTTATGTGAATTATTTTTTAACGTGAATAAAATAAATATGTAGTAATTCTTAATGCACAACACTATTAAAATATGTTTTAATAACAAAAGTTTCACAAAATATAGACACAATATATATTAATTAATAATATATAACATCAGTTGTAGATGAAATAAACCACACCAGCCCTTAAAGCAGGGGTGTCCAAACTTATTTTGTCTACTGCTGACTTTGAGTATAAATTACTTATATCCTACTAGCTTTCCGCCCGCAGCTTTGCCCGAGTGGAGTTCAGTTATATTGCGTTTCCAAGAGAACTTTTCAAAAGTCTGGAATAAAAACTATCCTGTTCTTTCTCAAGGTCAACTTCATCTCTGTACCAAATTTCATTAAAATCAGTTCAGTGAAAGTGTAACAGACAGACAGAGTTACTTTCGCATTTATAATATTAGTAGGGATTTTTTCGACTTCTAAAAATCCACTATAACGTCAAATGGAATTGAACAATTATTGTGAGCATTAGCATATTAACATAACCATTTTTTTTGTGGTCTGCAGAATTTTTGGTTAATATACAAAAACCTTTGTTATAATTATGTAACTATTACAGGTGATAAACAATGCATGTGCGACACAAGCTGTTGTAAGTCTCCTGTTGAATTGCAACCATCCAGATGTCATATTAGGACCGGAGTTGACGAAGTTAAAGGAATTCAGTATGTCATTTGATCCACGAATGCGCGGTCTGACACTAAGCAATTCCCAGACCATAAGAAGTGCACATAACTCTATGTCTCAACAAGCTTTGTTTGAATTCGACCCAAAAGTTCCTACTAAGGTGAGTAAATTCATTTCACTAAAAAAATGTATTTGGTTTCTATGAAACTGATTTAAGTGACTGTTTTTATGTACAGGATGAAGATGCTTACCATTTCATTGGTTATATGCCAATTGATGGACGGCTTTATGAACTAGATGGACTCCGGGAGGGACCCATCGATCATGGACCGATTGCTCCGGAACAAGATTGGTTGGATGTTGTTCGTCCCATTATTGTGTCTCGCATTAATGTGTAAGTTTCGATATAAAAGAAATTGTAAGACTAACCTTTCAATATCATACAGTAACATCATTTATTTATCTTACAGATATACAGAAGGTGAAATACATTTTAATCTAATGGCTCTCGTATCGGATAGAAAAATGATATACGAGAGACAAATACAGGCGCTCATGAGCGAGACCAGGATGCTGGGCATGGAGACGGATGACGTGGACGTTGAAATAAGAAGATTGCGTATGCTAATAGAATACGAAGACGCCAAAATGTTGAGATACAACCAGGAGATGTTGAGGAGACGCCACAACTACTTGCCGTTCATCATCACGCTGCTCAAAATATTGGCGGAGGAAAAGAAGTTGTCGCCTCTGTTGGAAAAGGCGAAGGAGCGCGCGCTCAAGAAGGGGCCCAAGAAAGTGAAAGTATAACAGGAAGCCTCGGGAGGGCGCAGGGTCTCGCGACCGCGTCCCCCGCGCCGTGTCTCCCAGTCCAGCCCCTCGCGGGTGCTGCCGCCCTCCGAGCACATGCAATATTCATTAGCAGATTTAGATTCTATATTTAGAGAGCCTCAAGAGCCTCCCAGCCAGATGGAGCCGCAGGACGCTTTGCAGCAGAGCTTATTAGAACCACCCGCCGACATGGACATGTTGGCCACCGACGACTTCCTCAAGGACGTCGTCCTCGACACCGGCTTCGAGCACGACCTCATAGACGTTCATGATATATTTGACGAAAATATGATACCGACCGACGAGTTCCCACACGACGACATCCTAGACCCCGACGAACTGCTCATCACAGACTTCATGCGCAATCCAGCCCCCGAAGAAGAACGCGATGCGGAATAGTACATACATACAGAGACTGACATGCTTTGTGAAATTATTTTAAAGTGACTCGCATGTAAGATATTTAACATTGAGTATTCCATGAACTGCTGTAATGTATAGTATACCGTGCAATAGTATTGATTTAATAATTAGCCTCATTATGAAAACAAAACAATTTTATGTATATAACTAGAAAGATTGTTGTAAAATATACATATATATTGTACAAAAAGAAATTTTAACTCGACTCATAATAATGTGTTTTGTAAAAAAAAACTTATATTTCAATTTGTAACTTGCATTTGAATTAACATGTGTGATTTTAAACAGATTTATTAATAGATAATATAGTATAAGTATTGAAGGAAAGATATTTAATATTAAATCATGTAAGGTTTGGAACAAACGATTGGATTTCTGAGTATGATGAAGTGTTACGAAGAACAATCATGGAGTGTCAGAGTTTTAATGAAGTTGTTAAAAATATTCTACAATATATTTTCAAGTGTGTCCCAACATACTTTATAGTTTTCTGTAAGATAAACATATTTGTCATATATTCGTCAAATGTACTAATGGATGTATATGTATGTACTTATTTTTGTAAAGTAAATTCATATTTATATATCTCATACTAGGAATTTAGCCTCAAACTTTCTAGCTAAATATGAAAATTGTAGTATTAAATGAAAATTATTTTTATCATAGGATCAAAGAACTTTCAAAATCTTTTTTTTTTGACTTATCATCTGAAAATTGGTTACGCTTATTTATTCATTGTACTGTTATTTGCATGTAGTAATGGACTTTCAAAAATTGATCATAGGAAATTTTTCTTTTTTTTCCATTTAATAAACTTTTCTCCTCTTTTCAATTATGTTTTATTTTGTTTTCTTTAACATATTTACATTAAATTCAACTTCCTTCTAGGATTTTTGTAGTAACTTAAATGTTTTTTTTCTGCTTGAGCAGACTAGATTAGTCAAAAGTACTCGAAATATAAAACATAAAATGATTTATAAATTTAACTTAAATAAAATATATGTAATTATTAAAATAAGTGTTGTTTATGTTATCAATGAGATATTATTTTGATACACAACTGAACTAGACAGTTTTTGTTGTATCTGCAGATGTTTACAGTTTTTGAGCAAATTAGTTATTTCATGTTCTTATTTATATTTCACTTGGGATTCTTTCAAATACTCTTGTTCTGTAGACCAGTGTTCAATGGTCCAATTCTATGGTGGTTAATGTTGAACTTAATCTTCAGTCTACAATAAAAGGTAATTATATAATCTACTAGCTTTTCGTCTGCAGCTTCGCCCGCGTGGAGTTCGGTTAAATCGCGTTTCCAAGAGAACTTCAAAAGTCTGGGATAAAAACTATCCTTTATTCTTTCTCAAGGACAACTCGATCTCTGTACCAAATTTCATTAAAATCAGTTCAGTGAAAGTGTAACAGACAGACAGAGTTACTTTCGCATTTATAATATTAGTAGGGATTCGAACAAATAGGGAATAAATAAATTATCGGAATTATTTTGCACGAACTCAGTATGTTATCAAGAGAATTTAATTTAAATATATATACGTCAATCCAAACGAAAAATTATCCTGAACATGGAGGAGAGAATTTTCTTTTATATGCCTGCACGTAAAATGGATAATTACATCATTATCTGGTGCCTTAGTTAAGCAGTGCATATAATAATAAAGAGAAAATAGTATGTTTGGTATTATAGCCCGTGTTTAACTTGGCAAGATATAGATGAATACGATTCTTGTGTCATAGGCACTTAGTTGAACTCATAGTTTTTGTTACTGTTTCGAATTTTGCTTTCTATGAGCATCAAAACTGTCCACTTTAGTTACACTAAGTGTAATTGTCTAAATTATACCCCACTCCACTAAAATCTTGCCACAAATACAACGCTGACCTTTTTAAAATTAAATTGTTAAAGGATATTATTATTTTTTTCAATTTAATATAAACTTCTAGAGTATATTTTATATCATTAAAGCTACTTTATAATTTCTAGGACTAGGTTTGGTTGTAATAATAGGGGTAATTTTAGATATTATAATATGTACCTTATATTGTATATGAGATACAAAAAATACTGATATACAAACAGATAATTGTGCTAATTAAAAATGAAGGATTTTAAATAATTTTAAATATGTAATATTTTGATATTTTTATCTTAAATTCTGATTTGATATTATCTAATATTTTGTAGCACCAGTGAAATGTTTTGCATAATTATGTGTTTCAGTGGGTTACAATTACAATTTATGTTAAATTTTATTTGATACTTAATACAAACTGTTTTAGCCTTCATATTTGAGTAATATTTATATGAATTAATTAGAAGCCAGCTATTTCCATTTGGTTAATAAGTTTTATGCTGCTTGTACTTATAGAGGTCGGTTATATACCTACCTACTTGGAAATTTGTCTTTTCTGTAAGTTTATTTCTGTTACAAAAAGTTTAACGAACCAATTTTATTCAACTCGTTATTAGTTATAGGAATTTATAAAACTCTTGGCATATTTTGACATATAAATAGCTCTTATTACTGTATTTGTTTAGATATATTTAATGTTCTTCAATAATTATATTAAAAAAATTATTTGATATTAATAATAAATTACATACGATTATGTGAATGATTTTCGTCGCTTGCAGTTTTGGTTGGAAGCACTATCTATGTTTCATATTATGTATATGTATTAATAAACTTATAACAAAGTGAGAGCTACTTTTTTACATTTTTTTTGTTACATATTCATTTATAAAAATTCCATATATAAAAAACTTAAATATTTTTATATAGTCGCTTTAAATACAACCCAAAAAATAATGAATGCAATGTGAGAAATTTATTACATATACATATTTGTTAAATATACAACGGTAACTGATGTCCAAAATGAGATCATAAGTATAAAATAACAATAAACTATGAACAATGATCAGGCATTACAGTGGGAATAATTAGCTGACGAGAGACTTAGTTGAGACGTCTGAGATAGAGTGAGCGACATTCTTGAGGTAGCAGAGAATGTTTGAGAATAGTGGAAGATTAGTGGAGTGGTTTACCCTTTTTTTTTGTAACGCGGTAAAAGGTTTTATACCTACCCCTCCGTCTAGGGGAGACAGAGGCGGTTATATGGGATTCACGGTCCAGAAAGGCCCATGTTATCCACTAAAACACCAGCGGTCACTCTCCGTTGCCGCCTAGTGGATCGCCACGAGAATCGCCGAAGCATACATCCACGACGATCCGGCGGCAGGCCGCGAACGGCCACCTCCCCCCCCCGAGGGATCGCTCCAAGTGACCAGGAGCGTCCCCCCACCTGGCGGGCTTGCTTAATCGCGAGAGGGTTAACCCCTTACCCCTCCCACCCAAGCCCACGCGGCCAGTCTCTGACCACCCACCGAGGAGCGCAAGCGCCCGACGGCAGACAGAAAGGAAACCGACTGACCACAAGCGAACTCAGGCCTCCGGAGAGACCCGAGTATCCCTTGCCCCCCGAGACAGCCACGGACAGCCTCCTGCCAGATCCGTGACCGTCTGACTCCCAGGGCTGTACCCCCCCCCCCCTGCCCTCCTCGTGACTGATTGCACCGGAATACACCAGTGGGCGATGGGGTCGTCACGTCCCGACGCCAGACTACGCCGCCAGTGGCCAAAGGTCACCCTCCAACTTATTGGTCTGAACTTGGTAACGGCGGTGTACACCACCGAGCCTCGTCCGTCCCACCTCCATGAGCTGTGCCCCCAGCTCGGGGCCAAGACCCCACAAGGAGGTTAAGGCCCTTCCCCCCCGTGACTAACTGCACCGGAATACACCGGTGGGCGGTGGCGTCGTCACGTCCCGACGCCGGCATTGTTGTTTACCCTATGTATTTCTGTTAATGTATAAAGTTTTGTGAAAGATGTTTTCGATAAATAAGAAATCTTAACAATTGAGGAATAGTTTCAACGAAATAGAAATAGGATTTATCATCTGATCAGATTTTTTTTATGCACTACTTATGAAGGCAATGAGTACAATATATTAACCTGCAATATTTATATCATGTGCCTCTTGCCACAAGTATGAAGAGCATAAATTGAAGCCGAAATGTTGGTTGTTACAATCAAAATAGTTGAAAGGGACTTCACCCGTAATGTAAATTTCATACAAAACATTGACCTAAATAAAGTATGAGATGTTTATGTGAACATATGAGAGAGGTTAACATCACTAATCTCCCTTTAAATATTTTACTTTATAATTTTCACCTTATTATTATTATATAGAATTATTAGAAGTAAAAATTTTCTTTTTAATCAGAGAATTATAATCTCACCAAAATAAATTTTAGTGCATATATTAAAAAAGGAACTACGTTTTGATAGTCTATGACATTGGCAGAATATGTGTTGCATGGAATCATTTATATTATCTATGTTTTTCCTTAGCAATTTGGCATAGACATCAACATTAATCAAATCATAAACTCATAAGGGGCACGGGTAAGGAATTATGGGTTTGGTATTATTTGATAACTAAAAACGAATTTTAATTGCTTAAAAGCTCAATAATTTACATTGGATAGTTCAATAACTATTATATGTGGTAGTGAATAACATTTAAGTAGATGAGCAACAACAACGACAAAAGCTCCCGTCAGCCATCGCTGTCGGGACAGCTTGATGCATCTCCAGGCAAAAGTGTAGATAACGATAAATCTACACAGATATGTAGAGATTTTATATGGGGATTGTGTAACAAAGGAGCCCAATGTAGGTATCGCCATGAACTCGATTTCGAGGCTATGAAAAAAACCCTTAAATTTTGCCACGACTTTCAAAACCCGTCTGGATGTACGCGTGAGCATTGTAATTATCTGCATACCAGTAAAGAGGAAGAAAGTTTATTTTTCGCAACTGGAACTCTACCACGTGTTTTGGCTGAACGCCATGCTAATATAACGGTTTCTTCGGCGGAAACTATACCACAGATAGCATTGTTTATACAAGAATCGCTGAGTGGGGCTCCTCCGCCGCCTCCGCCGTGTACTTTCCCTGTTCCAACAGTGTCCCCGATGGCTCCAAGACCAACACTACCATTACAACAAATGCCACCGCCTCCGCCACCTCCGCCACCTCCAAATTCATCAACAGTCGCACCGGCTCAGACAAACCGTATACTGGCAGGTATAATAACATATTTTTAATATTATTTACACTTCTGTTATACTAATATATGTATATACCAAAATCTTAAGATAGCTAGTCTACTCAGTTAAATAACAGATGGCCCGTTGATATAATCATTACAATACATAATTGAAAAAGATTGACTCAACACAAGCTGATGAGATTCTATGTATGTGTATTTATTAGAGTAGCTTAAAATTAATAATATTATTGTAGCCTATGTTCTATACTTTCCGTATATATGACAATGTTCTTGACAATCATTGACTCAGATGAAGAAAATTATGTTAAATGAGTTATTTAGTTCTATGAATGGTGTTCAGTTATTTACTTTTCTTTTCAGTTCCACCTCCTCCTCCAACGCCTTCGTTTCCGATAACACAGCCACCGCCTCCAATACCAATGTAAGTGATTTATTATATACATCATGAAACTGATGCTACTATTTTAGCATTTACTCGACGGTAATTAAAAATTAAATGGTCGAGCTTATAATATTATTGAATCTTTTGTGATAATACTATTAAAATTCTTTGTTGTTCTAATGAAAAGTTTGTTTAGTTTAGACAGGAGTAATGAAATATTTAATATATCTAATTGTTTGGTATATTTTTAATATTTATACTTAAATAATTCAAGGTTCGATGCTAGTCGGCCGCCGCCGGTCATTCCGGCTATGGCAATCAATAAAACTGGACCACAAAAACGGCCATCCAGTGATGACACCGGTGAGTAATGAAGTCAACACAGTTATTTCAGGATTTCCATAATTTTTCAATGTATTATTGATAATATTTTAAAGCATTTGAATAACATTGTTTATTAGACAGCCGTGTATAGCTCTGCGATCTGATTTGTCCACAGTTTCTGTTTGCAAGATGCTAAAGACGGACGATTTAAAGACAGAAGACGTGCAATGCGACTTGTGCCTTCAGCGAGAGATCAGGTATGTGCGATATATGTTACATAAAATCAAATATATATTCGTTATAACCAATAACTTTATTGCGAAGTTTAATATAAATTTATCGTAAGATGCGCTTGGTGACTTTAATGAAAGCGTTTAAGCGAATTTATTTATAACACAGCTGAGTTATACGAAAAACATTTTTTATGATATGAATAAAGCTTAATACATGTTCAATTACTATTTAATAAATTATCAATACAGATATACAGTAATAGTACAGGCAAAATAGACTAAATTATGATTCCAGTTTGCATTAATTCCCAAAAAGGTGGATTTGTTCAGGCTTTGTATACGTCATTTTAAATGATACATCAAAAATCCCCATCGATTCCGCGTGTGCGTTGTTTTTGATTTGAGGCCAAAGAACACAAATTTGCGTTTTATGCGTATATCTCTGAAACAACGAGAGCTATCGGAAAATGGTCCAGATAAAGTTTGTAGATCGTAAAAATGTCTACGGAAAAAATAATAATATTTTTTCTTCCACGCTGCATTGTTCTAGAATTATAGCTGTTTTAAACATAGAAAATACGAATATGCACTCATACGTTGCCGATATGCATCACCGGGTTAACCATTTGAACAAAATATATACATAGTTTTATTTGCCCCCTGCACATTACGTGAAAAATATAAAAATCTAAGTGGAGGGAACGACCTATTTTATCCGATTGAAATCGGTCGTCCTGGAAGTGATTCTATTATTTCAGCGATGGAAGAAATATTTGCAAACCATCGATAATAGAACAATTAAATCAAAACTCAAGTTAAAGTATGGTAATAGAATCATAATAAATTGGCAAGTACTAAATTCATTTGCTTAATTGACAAACAGCATGATGTCCGCAGCAAAACTTGATGTTAGAATAAAAAGCAAAATAATTAAAGAAAGAGCGGTTGAGAATACTATAGTGGATATATAAAGGGAAATGTGTGCATATAGTTAAAAATACTTTCCTGCGGTCTAAAGGCACGATATTTCGAAAGCGATGCTTGGTAGAAGACAAGTGTTGACATCTTTTTTGTAGACAATTTTACGATCTACAAACTTTGCCTAAACCATTTTTCGATAGATCTCGTCGTATCAGAGATTTACGCAAAAAAAGAAAATTGGAGACGATCGATCGATCGATCGATGGGGACTTTTGACATATCATTTGTAATGACGTATACTAGGCCTGCACAAAAATTCAAGTTGTTGGGAATTACTGCAAACTATTAGTTATGTACATTTCTATGATCTATATACACATTACAAAATAAAAAAATGGAAGAATCGATCATCATTTTAACATTCAAAGTAGGCAGTGGCAGTTATACCCCTTACACTATGTAAAAACTTCTCCAACAAATTTTATCACTTATACTGAGTCCTATGAAATTGGGAATTTAGTGCAATTTCTTAACGATAATCACCAAAAACGTCACAGATAGAACATAGAAATATACAAATTTATTGTTTAAATCATTATTTCGTTTGACATTTATTTCAAGGGAAACTGGTAAGAGTCTCAGATAAGTACTAGAATCATATTGAACTTCTGCAAAAACGTTATTATGGGTTTAGTAGTCGAAATCTTTAGTGTACAATCCCCCGAGGAAGCCATGTATTAACCGCTATTGGCTAAGACGAGAAGCCGTTAATAAAATTTCGTTAAGCAATCCTTCAAGTCAAACTTTCGCTCAATCCCTTATGTTAAAAGGCCAATAGCCTAACAATAGGACTATAAAGCCAGCCCCGGTACTGGGTCCTGGATATGTCAATATAAGCAATAAATTTTTCACCAGTGGGGTGAAACTTCCATAACTACTGCTGTGTTTGCTGCTAGCAAAAGATCCATCCAATTGAGAACTTTTTCCCATCATAGACAGTGTGTACAAAAACGGATATTTTAGCACATCTAAGACGACTATCTTTCTTATAGAGAACGAAATGTTAGGTACATTTCTTACTGAGATATTTTTATAACCTAATTATTTCCTGGTAAAACCTGGTGAAATGCTAACTTCTTTAGGACCTTAAATCAGTGTCTGATGGCTCTAAAAAAACGTGAAGGACAATACTTATAACTCATTCATTACATTTAACTTGTATATCTGCGAGAGCGCTTAATGTTTCAAACAAGACATTTTAAAACGATTTTCTAATAGTTAAATTTATCGGTTTTCCCTTTTCATTTCATGTTATAGAGAGCTGTTTAAAATTTGAGAACTGTATTGTTTCAGTATATTTTTATTTTTGTCAGAAACTTTATGTATTGCTTGGTACGTAATTTCAAATTGCCACTGTATGCTAACAAATGTTTGAATACAAAGAGTTTTAAGCGAACTAAAAATTTAAGTAACTTTGTGCAAAATTGTCAGCCAATGACTTATGTTGTCTTATGAAGAGGAAAAGCCAGCGTTTTGCTCAGCGAATGTTTTCTATTTGTTATCTATACTAATATTATAAAGCTGAAGAGTTTGTTTTGTTTGAAAGCGCTAATCTCCGAAACTACTGGTTCGAATTGAATAATTCTTTTTGTGTTGGATAGTCCAGTTATCGAGGAAGGCTGTAGGCTATATAACATCACGCTACGACTAATAGGAGCAAAGATATAGTGGTAAATGTGTAAAAAACGGGAGAAATTATTTCATCTTTGAAGCCTTCCGTTGCGTGCGCCGTGAAAACGGTTCAAGATACCCAAAAAATATGTATTAAAGAATAATAGCTCTTTCAATGATCTAAAAAACAGTCCGCTACAGTATATGTCTATCTTTTAAGATTAACTCACAAAAACCGTTTTTATGGTACCTAATTTGGTTGAAATAATTTGTTTAAGTTGTATCAACATAATAATATTAATCTTTATTCAAATAAACAAATAAATATGTTGTTGGTTAAGAGTACTTCATTGCGAAAAAAAAATATAGGTTTTATCCTGTAAATTCTACGGGAACTCGACCATTCCGAAAAACCCGCAAGAACAGGAACTATGTGGGAAGAACCAAAAATCTGCTGGAAGTCACTATTCCACGCGGACGAAGTCGCGGCAAAAGCTAGTAATAGATAATAAGCTATTATAAATAAAAGGTTATTTAAGTTACAAATAAGATACTTGACAAATAATGCTCTGAACCAGTTTGTCGTTTCTGGCTGTAGTCATTACTCAATTTGACTATCACATTTATATTAGTGACTTGTTGGATCGTGTATAGCCGGCATTTGATGGAAGTTTTACCCCATTGATTGAGAAGTCCCGATTAATATATATCTAGATATTTATTAAAGTTTTAATCTAAAATATTATACTGGTACGATTAACTTTTGTAAATCTCATCGTGGATTTAGAACGTTCGTTGGAGGGCTGTGGCGCCGAAGGATGAAGTCTTCATATCTTGGTTCGAGGTGAATCAAAGTGACTGAAGGTAAAGGCTGGCTTAAGAGCCGAGTATAGATTACGGGGCAGGCACGGGCTGCTTTTCATTAACTTCCTTTGCATGAGTGTTTTCTTCTGTTGCAAAACTGAAAGCGTGACTAATGCTGTCATGATAGCTTTGCTTACCTTCCTTATAAACAGGCAAGCGACGAGAACCAAGGAACCATAGAACAAGGAAAATATGAAAATCGCTGTAGTGAATTCCTTTCCCTTCCTCAATTCAATTTGTACTCTGTTCTTGAACTCATCTAACTAAAATTAAATGCTCGTATTAATTCTATTTTTCTGCTTCGCTTGCTTTAATCTTTTTAATTTTGCTTCTTCTTTGTGTGCTTTTTGCAAGAAAGTTTGCTTATTTGCTTTTTGTTTTATCTAGTTATGATTGTATGTATGCATATACTTTTCTATCACAGGGAATTTTGGACTTTGCCAATGCGAAAACTGTTGATATTATACTTTTAAAACTAGAAATTCGATTGACCGGACTATTGGTAGTCGTTTTAGCATTCTAATTCAAAAATCTCGATATGTGAATGTATTATTTCGTGTAAATATTTAAATTCCAAAAAAAAAATGAAAATTTTTCCGAAAAGAATCAATGGCTTTTTGTTTTTTAGAAAATTATATTGTAGGTAATTTTTATAACTGACTAAGTTCTATAACTGATGGCCGGTCAATCGAGATCCTAATGTAATACGCGTTCTTTGGCTCTATGCGATATATGATATTTCAATGCTACTTGATATATTGATAAAATGCCTCATTTTTTACGCGAATCTATAACAAAATTGATAATAATTATATCCTGTACATAAAACTCTTAATAATTTTTTTATGATTATACATTTTTTGTTATACGAGGGGAGGTCAATAAGTTCGCGGAATGGAGGGGGTTGATTTACTCGTCCAGGTAGTAATTTGTTCAACACCTCATTAATAGTATATATACCAAGTTTGAACCAAATGTCAAAAGGTGTGCTCCTTTTGCACGACAACGCAACAGTCCACACGTGCCATGTTGCGACGGCTGCCATTCACCGAAAAAAAATTGGCGACGATGAAGAAGTCAAGTCCGCAATTTCGGCCTATTTTGATAGCCAAGACAAATAATTTTTTTTCGATGGTACAAACAAATTATTTGAGAGATTTGAAAAATGTATTAAGGTTAAGGGAGAATATATTGAAAAGGAAAAATAGTTTCGTGTTAAATTTCAACCCCCTTCCCGCTCATTCCGCGAACTTATTGACCTTCCCTCGTACAAATATCATTCCGACTTCTTTTCTAATTTTCTTATTTTGTAATTTTATTGATATTGAGGAGTTTGATAGAGATGTCATCTTTCGTGCGAAATATGCTTTGCAAAAAAAAAAGGTAGCATAACACAAAATAAATGATTTTGTGCTTAAATTTTTCAGGATACAATATTACAGACAGAAGATGGAAAGAATACGAGAGGAAGACGAGTGTCAGTCGCTGGTGTTCAAGAAGAAGCTTATGGAATATCAGAAGCTCAAGGATATTCTGCGAACGTTGATTGATAGCGATTTGTTTAAACTTGTCGAAGAATCTTTAGGGGTTAGTGTTGTCACCTTTATAAAATATGTTTTTCTATCCCATGGGTAGTCGTAGTGACCTGAAGATCCGCCTCTCGTGAATGAGGGCGCAGGTTTGAAACCTGGCAAATACGATTTATTCTGAGTTAGGTAGTTTCTGAGAGTATTTAGACAACACTGATTGGCGGTGGAGGAAAATTTCGTGAGGAAACCTGGACTTATAATTTGGAATTATAACTTTGTAATCGCTAATCAGTGGTGGCCTAGTGGTTAAGGGGCCCGCCTCTCGTTGCCGAGGGCGCAGGTTCAAACTTTGCCAAGTACCAATGTGATTTTTCGGAGTCATATGTACTTTCTGAGAGTATTTAGACATCACTGACATACGGTGAAGGAAAACATCGTGAGGAAACCTGGACTTATAGTTTCACAATTATAAGTTTGAAATCACCAACCCGTCTTGAGCAAGCGTGGTGATTAATGCTGAAACCTTCTCCATGTGAGAAAGAGGTCTTGCTCAGCAGTGGGCTTCTGATAGGCTGATAGGCAATCGCTAATCCATCTTGAGCAAGCGTGGTGATTAATGCTCTAATCTTTTCCATGTGAAAAGAGGGCTTTGCTCAGTAGTGGACACCAATAATATGAAAACGATGATGATTCTATAAATGTATTTTATTAGTAAGGGATACTAATTGTTTTACAGGATGTACCGCAGTCTTCGTTCGGGGATCCTTTGACTAATACCATTCCATCATTTTTGTCTGTGAGTAATTATTCCTTATATATAAACGTATTTTAATTGCATAAAATTAAAATAAATATTTTTCATTCCACAATTGAGTATACTAAATTGGTGGAACGCGCCATTTACAGAGAACATAAAATAATTTTATTTATAAGGTAATAGAAGATATGAAATTGGGAAAAGAAAGATTAAGGACCTAATTTTGGATAAAAATAACAAAATAATTCTTAAACTAAATTTTACAAAACCTTTATGCATAATTGGGAAAAACATCTACGATTTGAAAACAACAATTACTTACAGCGAAATAGTAAAAAAATGTTTGTAATTAACGATTCAAAAAGAAACCAAATGACATAAATGATTTTATAATCTCTCACTATAATAGGAACTTGATCAAAAACTATCAGAGAACTAAAGAATAGTCCTATATTCCTATAATAAAGAATACTCTTTAAAGTTATATAAAACAAATAAAATAAAAAAATTAATAAATACATTGATCCCAATAAACAAGAGATCGTAACAACAAAAAAACTTAAACATTATAAAAATCATTCATTCAATCGGTCAAAAGTAAAAATCAATGGAAACACACTGACATAATATGCTATAGCATACTAAGTAGTAATTAGTTCTCTTTCATTAATTAAAATATGTGTATGTTATTGAAATATAAATAATAATTAATAATTTTCAGGGAATGTTCTCCGCGGGCCCCAAACAGAATCACGATCAGTTTTGGTTGCAATTCATGGAATACATGTTCTCTAAAACGAGGAGCTTCGAGGTAAACAAGATATTAACCTACGTACCTTGCTGTAGTACAAAAAAATATATCGTAGGGGATAGTGCATCCGCGTAACTACCATTGTATAATTCCGCGTATCTATATTGGAAGCAGATTATCAGAAGTTATTATTTCACATATAGTAATAAATTAAAAACTAAATAATTACTAAATGTGAAAAAAATATCTTAAAAATTATTTAATTTAGAAAATATTTCAGTTCAAACTTTTTTCTGTAGTTGGTTTTGCATAGCCCCGACTATATTCGGTTTCCCGGATATAGTATGATATAGGAAATTCTGTTGATTTGTTATGAACATTTTATTATCAATGTCAAGTATATAGTGTTTAATTAAATCCTCTTTGTTTATTCAGTCATCATCGGTGCATGTAGAGGAGTCATTACGTACACTCTCAACGACGCCGCGTAGAAGCCACCAGTCCCCTGATATATTACAAACACTGACGGAAATTCTGGGTAATTAAATATAATTATTATAATCTTGTTCGTTCTCGCAGAGATATTACGAAGATTGAGATTAAATTTGAAAAGAAAACATTGCTATACACCAGTGTTTTTCAAACTGTGGGTCGCGAAGTCTTACTCGGTTGTTCGCCGGCAAAAAGGTAAAGTTCTATACCACAATTAAAACCAAATTTTAATTAGAAGAATGGGCTTGCTTATTTTTCAAAAGCATGTGAAATCGTGGTGCTATTTTTGAAATATTATCTATTGTAATTGAATTTTATTTCTCCTTTTTGTTTCGATGAATCCACCATTGCAGAGAATGTCTTTAACATTAATGTCTAGACTTTTAATTTAAGAATTTCCTTGCCTGTCTGTGGCACAAGGAATCGCCGCAATTTTTCAATCCGTAAAGGGACGGCATATCAAAAAGATTGTAATGCACCGCTATACACCAATTTTGTATCTTGCATGAGATCACGTGACACACCCTAGATAACATCCGTCGTTCAAATAAAATACTGTATATTGATAATTTATGTACGTTATTTTCAGGATCGTCGTCCGAGCGTTCAGTGTCCGAGTCTAGCGGTGATAGCGCGCACGCTTCAGGTACTAACGGCGTGTCGACATTCCGTCGCTTCAACCGGCCGAGGTTGGAGGCGCTCCGCCCTCCGTCCGGCGTGGGCCCGGCGTCGCCCGGAGCGCCCCCACCCTACCCGTCGGTGATGGGCCCGCCGCCACCACCGCCCCCGAGGACGGCCGCCCGCCGACTGCCGACCTCCCGGCGGACATGATCCACACCCCCCACCCCCCAACATAATGGGTCAGTGGACGTAGCATTCAACTTCGCACTGAATTTCCGATTCAATTTCTTTTAATGTTGACAACATAACCATAAAGACGAAACTGATCAGGGTAAAACAGACAGATCTGGGTGGTACAATACTATATTGAAGTGGAAATCGAAAGTTATTGAGACCACCGTTGTAGATAATATACATTTTTATATTTTGGTCATAATAATTTGGTCCATAATGTACAACTTCCGAGGTATCTGATACATTGCGAAGAAAGTTCCACCTATATCTGTCTGTATTGTTGTGTTCTTGTGGTTAATATTTGAAAATTAATTTAGAAATTAATATATTGTATCCGGAAATTCAGTGTGTATTTGAACGAATGTAGAGCTGTATTTACTGACCTAATATGTTTTGTTGGCTGGTGTATAATACAATGGAGTTTAGTGATAATTTGAAATGGACAATGAAGTTGTGAATTAGTTTAAAAATTGTGGTAAAACGAATAATGACTTAATAAGTAGGTTTTGCTAGTGAAGTGATTACATTTGTGTCTTCTACTTACGTTTATGTATGCCACAGTTATAAAAATGTACACAAGATATTGTAAGAGGGAATGAACTCATTTTTAATGTAATAGTTACAATGATAATTCACTGTAATTAATATGATTATCTTAACTCATCTCACATATACAAAAGCAATAAATATGAAATGTATGTAAATATGTCTGACGCACATTGTACTTGTTTGAAAACTAGTGCTTTGTAAGAATATGAATGTGTTCATTCACACAATATATAATAATTAGTATATAAGTTTGACAATGTCTTAGTATTTTTTTAATAACATATATTTTAATTAGTAATTTGTTTTCGATAATTTAATATGTTAATTATAATTGATATTGTATTGATATATCAAAAATCTATTTTACGATAGTAACACTTAAATATTTCTATGTTTGTAAGGTATACATAAGGTTATGTACAGAGTTTTAGAATTTTAGACTAATTTAATTTAAAAAAATAATTTCATTATTATATACCTTTAATACTGTTTGAATTTTAATCATCATGGATACTGAAGTTCACAAATTTTTATATATAATAGTATGTAGTGTATAATGTACACGCATGTATGTAACATACATATAAATTAGAACAACAAATATGCTAGATGCTCAAATGATACTGACTCAATGTGTATTTCTTGTTCTAATTTATACATTACACACTACAAGTACAATATATTACAATGCCTGTATACTTTTGAATGTTTGCCTCGTTTTTAATACATATGAACAAAAAATAAATCAAGATTCCCAATTAAATAAATAATTATAGTTGAATTAATGATATTTTTCATTGAATAATCATCAACAATGTATATGGTGAACAATGTTTCTTTTAATGAACCAGCTGTGCTGTTTTGAAGCTGATATATAAACCAAATGTTTCTAACGACAAACATATTGTTGAAACATTATTTACCTTTAATTACCTCTTCCCTGTTACCTCTCGAGGTTTTTAGGGGTTGAGGCGTAAACAAGCTCTTTTCAGATCTATGCATGGCTTTCTGAAGTGAAACCAGGTTGCGTTAAACGTTTAACGGTTCTAGGGAGGTGGTACTGGTCGCTCGAACTCGTAAGTAATGTTATTAAAGTTTGTCTTAAAGAAACACTGGACATGCCTTAAAAAACGCGTTCTAACCTTTCATGTTTTCATTTATTAAGAAGTTTTACTTCATAAGCGCAATAATTTTTTCGTCGACTGCTATAATGTGTTTTTTTCAATATATTTTAATATACATATACCTTCATCTGACTTCATTTATGATCTGCACACTATTATTGACCACTAGCTTTCCGCCCCCAGCTTCGACCGTGTAGAGTTTAAGTAGGTTAAAAATTATTCTATGTTCTCTCTCAAGGTCAACTCTATGTCTGTACCAAATTTCATTAAAATGAGTTTAGTGGTTTAGGCTTGAAAGCGTAACAGACAGACAGAGTTACTTTCGCATCTATAATATTGGTAGGGATAAGTCAGTGGTGGCTCAGTGGTTAAAGGGCCCGCCTCTCGTCGCCGAGGGCGCGGGTTCGATCCTGGCCCCTGCAAGTACCAATGTGATTTTTCCGAGTCATATGTACTTTCAAAGAGTATTTAGACATCACTGATTAATGCTGATTTCCAAAAGAGGGTTGATGTCAGGCAGGCAGCCGGTCGTAAAAACTATTCACCACATGTAAGGCAGACCCTGGCTATAGCTGGGAAATTGCCAGGTATAAGAAGTAAGGAGATAGTGAAGTTATCATGTACGTTTTGTATATAATATATTGTAACTATCGCTGTTGTATCTCGAGGGAAAACTTTTACTTCGCTTTTAATAATTGCCAGAAAAAACATCTGAAACATGAAAAAACGTGCACATTTCTAAATTACACTATTGTTACCTTATGTTTATGGTGTCATTAAAAATCTTGATTATAAATATTACTAATCAATAAAATAATATGGCGAAATTCATGTACTATAAAGTCAAGTAAAGAAAGTCTAAACTGCCTCTTAAACGTTAATTGACGAAGTGTATTGCAGAGCTTGAACTTCGTAAGAATGGGGTTAAATTTCACCTTTAAATATTAAAAAATTTTAAGCGTTTTTTTGTCGGTTAAAAATAAATATTGGAAATTTTTCTCTTACTATAATTCTAAAATACATATAAATTATATAAATTAACTAACTTAATATTTTGACGTGATTAATATAATTCATTAGAGTCAATCACGGTCAGGCGGGAAAAAATAATCTGCGTTTTACAACCGGAACTTGTCAAGAATGAAATGTCAAAGTGACATTAATAAATTAACCGCTACACATACCTCCATTAATTTCAAAGGACAAGTGCTATATGTAATTATGTCGCAATCAATATATTTTGTTCCAAATTATAAACAGACAAGACTTATAATAAAACTAGAAGACCCGGCGAACTTTGTATCGCCCTATAATCAAGAAATATCTGTTACGTTTTTTTATTTATATTTTTGGAGTTTACCTATTAATTACATAAATCTCTGTGTTTTGAAGTGCGACAGAATGATTGACATATTAGTTAGTTGTCAAATCTAATGTCAAAAAAAACGTTTGTATCAACAAGTACTAATACATTAAAAATTAATTAAAAAAATATTGTCCAGCGGACGAAATTGTGAATCTAAACCATTCCCAGATCCCCTTGAACACACACAATTTTTTTTTATCAAAATCGGTCCAGTCGTTTGAGAGAAGTTCAGTGACAAACACACTCACAGAAGAATTATGTACAGGGTGACTGGTGAATTACTATCGATACTTGAGGACGTAATATTTGACGATCAAATATGACAAAATAAAAATTAATATAACATAAATATTAATAAACTTCTAAGTAAAGTTAACCAAAAGTTATGTAATTAATTACGCATCGTATGAACACCCTACAGATTAGGTATACACACACTCACACACATACGCTTGCGGCGGCGTATTGTTGTATCAGCACGCCACCGCACGCGTCCACACTTGGAACACTTGGAACGTATCAACACTTTATTTATTTATACGGAAATTTTGTCAAAAATTAAGTACCTATTTTTTTACATAATTCGAATGAGAATCATGTACCGAGTATTCTCCTTAAATATTGATAGTAATTCACCAGTCACCCTGTATATAAAGATAAAACATAATTGGAAGGGCTTGTTTAAAATATAACTTTCAGGTGTATATTTAATACCCTACTACATATTAAAAAGAATCAAGTATTTCTATACCTGATGGTTAGTTAATTGTAGTTACTAACTTAAGAAGAGTCTAAATTTGGAGAGAACCTAAGTTCAGTGCTTAAGCACAGCATATTTAATTAATAGGTTAATTTTGGTGTAGTCAAATATTATTAAACAGATTATATATAAGTTTTAAAGCTATGGCTTCATTCGCACTGGAGTCGTTGTATATTCTGTCAATGTTTTTATTTGTGGGACGAATTTATAATCTTTGCGTATCGTGTGGAGGAAACACGAAGGTGTTTGTCGAATTTAACAAAAGCGTTTATTTAATAATAATAAACAAATAATATTGCATAATATGTAAGTGATTTGAAAATTGTACACTCGTTTGGCTATTTCAACTACAATTCAACCACTATCTATGAAATCGAAAAAAAGTTGTATTGACGGTGTCACTAATATAACATTTATTATACTATGATTTGTATACAATAATAATTTAAATTTATTCGAATAATTATTGAATATATAATTGTTTTGTTACACAAATTGTTGATAGACGCGTAAATATATTTAAGACGGTTTATAATTAACATAATATTTTAAAGACAGTAAAATATATCTCATTTTTATTTTATAAATATTTATTTATAAACAATATTAAAAAGGAATTATTATTACAATTTTTTTTATTATGAAAACTAATGATGATGCCTCAATTTTTTAAACAGTTTCAAATAATAAAATAAATTCTAGATGTAATTAAAAAGCAGAGTGTTCTATAAAATATTTAACGTATTCATACTCGTATTACACGCGCCAGGTACTTATCAGGTACAAATAATAACACTAAAATATTTCATAGAGAGTGAGTCTGTATTTGAATAAAATTATTAATATACAGTTATCGAACAATAATGTACACAAAACCGCAAAACATTCCGCATCGAAAGTTCGAAATCATATATATATATTTTTTAATATATAATATAATTATTTACAACTTAATTTTAATTGTTATTCTACATACTAAAACTATAAACTTAATGGAAGATAGTTTGATATTTAAAATCATGAATAATAAATTAATGAATTTAGGCAGTGCCGTGGCTCGTTGTACATATGAATGGTTCACTACAACGGACCTTATTGATGGTATTGACAGAGTGATGCCGAGAAGAATATTTACAAAGATGTCGATGACCTTGAATTGAAAGAGTTTTTGAGGAGCCTCCCTTGTTCGCCGTCGTTATGTGGATCCTTACATACTTTACACGTGTAATAAAACACCCATAAGAGAATAAATATGATTGTCATTCTATATCCCGAGAACCCGACACAAGCTAGCGTGCGTTTATATAATATATTGTTTGTTTTAATATATCATATTAAATATGTTTAAGGCTCTAGAATCCACATAACAATTAAACAGAGGCTGTATGATATATATATTTTTGGACAGCGAGTGTATCGCTTCATGTGTTCGGTTGAAGTCCCTTCGGCTTGATCATCATTGAGGCGCGTTTAAGAGTGTAGTCCCAGCCGCGCCAACGGAACCAAACGATACCTGGGGATGATACACATGAATAAAATGATTATCGTACAACAATAACTAATAAATAAATAATTGCATCTAAGCAACGGCAAAAATATATCACGGATGAAATATACTATAATAATAAAAATAATCATATGTACTATAATAATAAAAATAATCGAATTATTTAACAACTAAAATACATATATTTTATTATTTATATGCATACAGAAGATAACACTTCAATGATCACGGGATAAATCAATCACAGGATTTTTTATCTGTTAATAAAAAGTTTTGTTATGTGTTTAATTGATACTGGCAAGTTTTTTTTGTTTTTCTTTTGTGTTTGTTATATATAAATGAACACGACCAACCTTGCCTGGCCGTTAGATCCTGTGGGTCGTGAAGGTACAGCCCGTTGAGACCTCGCCCGCAAGACTTCCACCACCAGCCTCCTTTCAGCATGGACGCACAATTCAACGATGACCTATCATTGTCTCTGAAACAACAATTATAACATAGTACCGCGCATATATTTGAATTTAATATATCGATGGGTCCTTTGTATAAGGGGCAATGTAGCAATTTTGTCATTTATTTGCTTTAAACACACCATAATACTCTATTCTGTCCATACTATTCATCCATTAAAAAAATACGTATTTGTTGGTAGAAAGACTTAGGTATTTAGGCATTTGTAACACATTTATTACGTATAAGATCTTATATACATTATTTAAAAAACTAGTAGATTTATAAAATAGTTTATTAAGCTTAAATGACGTACGTGTATGTCATAGTCAAAGTTTCAAAATCATCAGTTGTCGCATGTAAAAGATATATTGTGATCAAACTTATATCGCCTGTACTGAAAAAAATGTCATTTTTCACATTGGCCCCTATACACAGGAGACATCGATATAGTTTGGTTTTAGAGAGACGTATATATAAATAATAAGAATAATAAGCTTCATATTAAGCAAACCGACTTGGTATTTAATAAGCTAAGACAATCGATAAACGTCAATATTATACAATTGTATATCAGATATTGCATCAAAGCTGGTTAGAGTCTTAGGAGCGTTGCATAAGTCTCGGAGGCCTTTAATTGTTGCGGTTCGAGGGGAAAGGGCGCCTGGGAATTTATAAGGAGAAATCGGCTGCGATCTGTATTGAATATAAAACAGTGATTGCCACTAATTAGTTTTTGATTAAAGAGTTTTCTCTGTTTACGAGTGTGCGCTATTTGACTATAAATAAATATGTAGTTGTATGTATATTACCTATTGTAAGTAGAGAACGGACTGTTGTTAGATCCGTACCACGGGTCGTTTAAGGAATCACCAGCGTTTCCATCGTAGCCGTCTATCTCTAACTTGTAGTATTCCGCTTCGGAATATATTTTGAAGTGCGAATACTGAGCGTATCTGTAACAGACGGGCTTGTGACGTCACAAAACTAGAAGTAAAGCATTTATTATTGGAATATCATATATATTATGTACGCACCTCTTGTTGCCATCGAAATCTTCTAGTTCCACTCTCAGCATGTAATCGTCGTTGTTTGTTAGCATGTAAATGTTCTCGTTACCGAGCCAGAATTCCTTGTTTGGATCGCCGAAGCCGTTCTTGTAGTCGCTCCAGTCGCGATTGAAATTCTCTGCTGGTATACCGAAGTCATCGCGACGATGAATCACCTGAGAATAAGCACAATATAGACCAAGTTCAGAGCATCTGTAACTATTTACATATTTATCAATATGAACCGCTCGTAATATCGGCGTTGTTTATTAAACGGTTCATTTTAAATGTTTATTGACTCTTACAAATGGAATTACCGAATTTCTACCTCAACTGGTTTTAAAGTATGAACAGCAAATAAGCTTTCGAAACTCTTTTTTTTTTTGGTGGCGTGTTTTTATTTGTGCAGTATTTACCGTCCAACCGCCGTCTGCGACGTTCTGCTCGCAGAATACTTTGAGGAACCAGTAAGTAGTTCCTCGTATCTGAAGGTAGTAGACACCGGACTCGCGCATGCCTGCATTCAGGAGATCCACACAAGAGTAGCCCTGTAAATGACGAAGCTGACTTCAATGCCCATAAAATACTAAATACATGTCGCTGAGCAATTTCGCTTACACGCAGGTATCAACAATTAATCTTTCCCCCTAAGTCCCCCTAAGTCGGTTTAATCTTTCCCCCTTTCTTAAGTCGGTTTAAAATGATCGCAGTTCCAACGTGTATACATTACATCATCGAATAATATCATCAAATTAATATTTATGTTAGGCCTGACATAATGAGTTACACCTGACACATGATCATACTTTATCTACGGATGGACGTTTCGACGATGACTTTTAATTTTCTCGTAACTTTCTTCTCAGCTATAGATATTGGTTCCGGTAGTTACTTTATGCTTTAAGTTTAATCAATTAATTATAAATGACAATCAAGTTGGACGAACATTTCGGTACAAACTCATCTGGAGATAATCTATTCTTGTGTAATCACCGTTTGGCACACAATTACATGGGCCTTTTCAACGTTAATTATGAGGTACCTATTGTCACGACATCTCATTAATATTCCCAAAGTCATCTGCTTGTAGCATTTAATAGTGTAGCTTTGAAAGATCATTTTTCTTTCGGCTCTAGTAATTATGCAAACCTATCAGACAATGGCGAACTCCTTAGTGGAAAGGGTAGAAAATAGATGCTATTTTACTTCGGACACACTTATTTCTTTGTCGTTCTGTTAATGAGCTATTAATGATTTATAATAAGACGGCTTATAAACTGTTCTTATTTATCGTCGAAATTCTATCATATTAATGAGCTTGTAAATACAAGTATTGCGTATAAATTAGCAACATGTGTAAATATTGCCATGTATGTATTTCAATCCCACTGTTGAAAATGGTAGCGTTAAGCGCAAGGAAAGTTGATTTGGTTACATAAATCTGGTTCATATACAGCATATGTATACACAGTATAGCGTTTTCCGCATCTAAGTACAAAATAAAAACTCGTTTTTCCCAACAGTAATGATTACAGCATTGTTTTTAATACATGAACAACATTTGGTTGTGTTACATTAAATATGGACGTAAAGTTATTTCACATCTGTTACACAATTAATACTCATTATATATTTTTATTATATTGCAAATAATAAATTTATATTATTATTGTACCATAGTTCAATTGACCAACTATCCTACTTCCTGTAAATTGCGACTTGTAAACAAAACAAAAGGATATACAACGTTTCTTACAGTTGTTTATGGTTGTGTAAATAGTTTCATATGAGTAAAAAATATCATTATTTAGTTAGGATGTTAAATAAATATATTGGTGCCAATAGTTACCTATAAATTCCAAGAATATCACCTAACCAATATTTTATATGGGCATCGATGTTTCTTTTAACGTAATTAGAAAGTTTGTAGAAATTTAATGGTTTATTTATTTTTATGTGTTTTTCAACTTGTATTTAATTTGATAAAAATAAATCTTGATATGGGTTAAAAGTTTTTTTTGCGGGTAGGAAGGGATATTTTGTATAGAATATTTTGTATAGAATAGTATTGTTGATAAGTTCGTATTAATTTCAACTATCGACCTGAAATCAATAGTGTTAGGTCATTGAACTCGAGGTAACAGTACCTACTATACTGATTTTAATTACATCTTAAAGTAGCGGTCGCAGGATGTGGTTAAGTGAATGGACAACTTGAGACATATTATTGCGCAGGGTTCCTTATTGCCAAAGTGGGAGACTAAAATGGTACTGTTCTATTGGAAGGTGTGTTCATTTAACGTAAAATATTTAAACAATTAGGACCAGTTAGAATTTTTTTATTGTACTGTATATATATTCTCTTTGTATAAGAAATAAACTTATTCCATTCCTTTATCCTATTCAATATAGTTGTAAGGATTACAGCCCAAATTTGTTAAAACATTTTAATACATACGCGATTTATTACCATACAATAATGAATCCGATTTCTTAATACGATCGATAGGTTTTAAGGCGTCATCATTATTAAAGTGTTAAATAAAAACAGCTCAGCATTATAACATTAAAATATCAATTTAATCTAGATAAAATCGCTGCAGCAATCACAAAGGGTACAATGAACTCACCTTAACGTCCTTATAATTTGCGACGATTTCTGATGCGAAAGTATTGTTGCCTATGATGGGTTTGTTCTTAACGCTGGGGAAGATTATGCCGCCTTTACGGCTGGCAGGTCGAGGGCTGGTTGGGCCAGTGCCGCTGCTGCCGGCACTGGCACTACTGCCTGTGGCAGCCGGAGTCACCGTTACAGTCGCGCTTGTAGGGCTCGCACTCACATTGCTCGGACTGCTCGGGCTGAGAGCGACATTATAGTTAAACTATCATAAATAATACGGCCAATCGTTATTTAAGATCACACATCCATTTCTATATTACTAGATAATCATTCGCGTTGATGATATATGAAAAAATGACTTTATAGTCCCATAACACAATTTACACAGTCGCTAATTTTGTATATGTTTGTGACACATAATTCAGTTTGACATGTAAAAGTAATAAATAACAATCGCATAGCACACAGCTAAATACATAAATTCGCAATAACAAATAACATTTGCCTGGATATAAATAAACATATGTGTATCATTTACCTTATGTTAGCAGTTGATGCAGCCTGTGTTGTGATTGGTGCATTGGTGGTAGGTTCTGTTAAGATCTCGTCTACTTTGTATCTGTTCGGAGCGTACTCCACAAGTCTATCTATCGTTGGATCTAAGAGAAGTTCAGCCGGCACTGGACGTTGCGCCAAAGTCGCTACATCGTCTTCTTGCTTCTTCAGACGTTTTTCAACCATGTCCAGATTTTCTATTATAAGATTTGTTTTCAATCTCAAATCGTTGTGTATTTGGCCTATAGCACGTTCCTGTCTCTGTGTTTGTGTCAGGAGTTCATCAGATTTCGGTACTAAATCGTCGACTGAACTCTTAGTTCCAACGACCACGTCCCACACTTCGTCCATTTTCTCAGAAACGCTCATCATAGGAATAATTTTATTCACAAGAGTATCTATTTTGCTTGCTTTAGTTGCTGGTGAGGGGGTGCTCGTGGTTGTTCTGTTTTTAAAGAGACCGTTAATGTTGATGGAGGCGGATTCTGGCTCGACGATAGCAGCATGGACGTCTGCCATCATGTAAAGCACTTTACCTAAATTTTCCGACACAAGATTTATGTGAAATTGCAATTTCCTATCAACAGTTGACATCGAGGTTCTCAACTGATCGACTTCCTTTGTTATTTCATTGATAACTTCAGTGTTCAGGCTCTTTGCGATCTCAATAACGTTTAAATTTATAGGTTTCTTCTCACTCGCCTCAGCATTGATGTCGTCGACTGGCAAAAAGTTGTTGTCGATTTGTGTTTTGAGTCCTATTAATTTGGTATCGATGCCGGAAACTTTTTGATCTAAAGATTCAAGTTTTTTATCCAGAAGTTTTGCATCGCTAAGTTCGTTCTTTTTATTGTTGATTTTTTCAGTAGAACTTTCATCGTCACCTTGGTTGATTCTACTGAACAGTTTAACATCGAGATTACCTAACTTGGATATGATGGCATCAGTTTTATGAATATTATCATTCACTCTTGAGTCCAATGCTTCGACTCTCCTCATGAGATGTTCGACAGCTTTATCCAAATTTTCAATTCTTTGTAGTTTGGTCTCGAGCGTGCTAACAATAACCTCGAATACATTGAAAATGTATTGCTCCCTGGAACAAACAAGAAAATAATGATATACACACTGAAATATCCGTTAGATTTAAATTGACATTTTGTAAAACAATTTTAATTGACACTACGAATATATAATGATATTATCAGTTTATTTACTGTTCCTTAAATAAGTATAGTTTCTGAACAATTACATTCGGAATTCAATTGAAACTAAATCAAACGGCTATAAGCCATTAACGTGGACCTGTTCATGAATTATTTCGAGTACGCAAGTGCATTTGAGTGCTAGATATCTGGTAGGTTCAGTGCGCTTGCGGTTACGCAAAACTGTTTTAAAATTATGGGTCCCTTAAAGTAGGCCGCCTTATAGTTATTTACTTTATTTAAACGACCGCTCACTACCAGTTGCATGTATATTATATATATACAATTATTCGTAATGTCTAACAACATTTCTTCTTGCAATCCTATAAATAAGTACAACTTTAGATCGGTTGCCCGGCAGGTGGTGTTTAATTTATTCGTTTATTTTGCAACATTCGACCCATTTTAATTCAGATACACTAAAATTATTCATGAAATAGCCGTTCTCTGCCTACGCTAATATACAATTTGTTTGTAATATCTACAAGAACGTTATAAATTTCAAAAGTCTTCATAAAAATGTAATAGGGAAATATAAAATGAATTAACATACGTTTAATCTTTATTTATTTAAAAAATAAAAATATTTAAAATGTTGTTTACTATGTATATTTTGTAGGGTTGTCATTCCAATGTGATATACGTGATCTAGGCCTGTGTGTTAGTATGTGTGTTGCGTATTGACTTGTAGTACGCCGATACTATTAACAACCCTAATTTGGTTCATGGTCCTCTCATTTAAGCAGTTTAGTGATTGCGCAGCCGATACTCCTGGGATACATTTAATGATATATCTATATTATGGTGATCCAATACATATTACATACCAATGAAGGCCACGACTGTAATGTTAACTAAAATAAATTTTAATATTATTTCGTTTTATCTAGGTGTGGTCACGAGTATATATATATAAATTATATATTCATCTGTAAATCTTTAAAGATAATTTCTTTGTAATTATCTCATTTAAATGTCACACATGTTTAGTATAAGTTATAAGATTAATTGAATTATTTTACTCAAATAATTAATGGAGGCCTTCGATACAGATAGACTTGATAAACTATTAATATGTAGTTATTTCGTTTAAATAGATCTGAAAACAAAGATATATAAGATATTTGGTCTCGAGTTTATTCAATTTTTATCATAGGTTTGTCAAATCTAAACAATGAATTTTCAAATCAGAAATGCTTGTTGGAAATTCTTTAAAATAATATATTTTTCGAACAATATACGTCTGTATTATTCTTAAAGGCTGTCAATAATCTTCTATAAACATATAAAGTTTCTCATAAAGGGAATATTATCGTTAATTTTATTTTAAATATAATACAAGTGTAGTAGAATTATCAGCTAAAATTATTCACCTCAAACTTCAGATGCCGATAGAAGTCGCCGCTTACCCAAGCTACTTGCTTAATAATAAGTGGGACTGAAATACAATATAAACTGAGGCATTTTAATTATTTTGTGCATACAGGATGAATGTGTTGCAACTTAAAACTAGACGGTTTAATATTGATTATATTAATTTCATACAATTAATGTGTCAATAAAATATGTATACATTTTGATTTAAGAATTACGGTAATTATGTAGACATCTATCGGCAACGTTTACATATTACCTATATAGGTATATACCTATATACGTATTTGAATTTTAATAATTTAACTACGGCTTATATTTCTTTCATATATTTTATTTTATAACATACATCCTAAATCATAAAAGAAAAAGCTTAACGTAAACGAACAATAATTTTAATTCATTTCACAATTGGTTACTCAAGTGGATTGCGTTTGAAATCTTAAAATTACAAAGGTTTTAAATACTAAAGCATAAAAGAAATGCATCAGTTAATAAATACACATTAATTGATCTAATAAGCGTAACCAGTTATTTTGAGACGGAGTAACAATTTTGATTGGTATCTACACATGTTAGTCTAGATAGCAAATTGCAGGTATTTTTTTTATGAGAAAGGTGCAAGCAGACGGCATTTTTTATGTGCAGTAATCACCATAATGCAATTGATTTTTGAGGAAGAGCAATGGGTGGGAATAAGGAAATGGTAGGGAAGGATGGGAACAGGGAATCGGCAACCGGCTTTCTAACTCATCGGACGAAACGCAGCCATTAAAGGCTACTTCACGCCAATCTGCTCTGTGGGGTTGGCACTTCCCCGGTCGAGCCAGCCCATGTTCTATCTGTAATAACTGTCCAAAATTACGCTCTACCACCTCAAAATATTAAATTATATAATGAAAATAATGACATAGTTTGACGAGCCCGTCGCAAATATATAAAGTCATGTGTTACAAATGAAATTCGGTTATTACATTGCTTTGACAGACTAGTGCTAAACTTTTCATCTGTGCATGAATTTTTAACGGTTCAAATCACCTAACGAAAATAATTTGTTGTACAGATTTTTTCTTTATCCAGAGATATCTTAGTTATTAAGCCACAATCTTATTATAAGTATTACTTATCAATTGTAAGTCAGTGGTGGCCTAGTGGTTAAAAGGCCCGCCACTCATGCATAAAGGTGCGGCTTCGATCCTCGCAAGTACCAATGTGATTTTTCCGAGTCATATGTACTTTCTAAGAGTATTTAGACATCAATGTTAATGAATTCCCAAAAGAGGGTTGATGTCAGGCAGGCGGCCGGTCGTAAAAACAATTAGCCAAAACTATTCACAACATGTATGGCAGACACCGGCTACAAGCTGGGAAATTGCCAGGTAGAAGAAGTAGAGAAGAATCTTGCTAAGAATCATTATATTTGCAAACTTTTGTATGCGCACGACGAGGTACTTAAATGCTGACATTGCTTGTTTTATCGATTAGAAAGAATTGAAAAGTGAAATTAATTCAAGGCACCGCAGTAAAAAACAAATGATCGGCAATCAATGTGCTTTATTACTATATTATGAGTATTAATAAAATATACGATATAAATCAATAACAGCAAAAGTCACTTAGTTTATTTTTTATTAACAATTTATTGGTTTATATAAAATTTAATTATCATTCTCATTCTTCTCTTCTACCTGGCAATTTCCCAGCTTTAGCCAGGGTCTGCTTACATGTTGTGAATAGTCTTGTCTAATTGTTTTTAAGACCGGCTGCCTGCCTGACATCAACCCTCTTTTTGGGAATGCTTTTTGAATCGTTTACGTTAATTATAAATATTTTTTTTATATATTTCTAAAGAAAGTTATGTCAATATAAACTAGAACATTCATATGAGAATCTCACAATATGATAGCAAAAATAAATTATAATTAATTAAAGAAAGATTTATTATAAGCATACAATTCAAGTTCTTATTCTCATAATAAAAAAGGTCTCATGTTTACTTAAACAGGGTTCCAAATAACAAGACAATTAATTATTTTTTGTTATTTTGTTTTATACTTTGTCGAAATAAAAGTTCGTTAACCGTAAAACATTAGAACGGATCTGAATAATTTATGCTAATATATAATGAAACAGGATTCTGTGTATTTTGTATATATATTTACAGTTATTCTTTTTATATATTATACCTGTTTTATATATTATCCCGCTATGATACATAAAGATATGTTTTCTTTGTTTTATTGACCTCTGAGTTAAAATAATCTTGTAGCATCTAAATTGAACTGATGTGTAAAACATCAAATTGGAAAGTCTTAACGTACAATAGTTTTTTTTATAAATACTAACGAATTATAAATTAGTTGGTGTTATTTGTATGCTTATTATAAGTTTCCATAATCAGAGTAAATACTATGCGTTTTTCGTTTCTAATTAAATATTATCGGTTAGTCTGTCGAGAATCATGAACGTAAACTATTAATGCGTCGTATGTGACGCGTGGTAAGTAAGTATTGATTCCGATTGCTTCTATATATTAAGTTTCAAATTTGTTTTACAGTATATCTCTGTTTTACAATATATTGTTTATATTTCAAGCGGGGTGTTTGTAGTTCAACACGTTGTGTTAGCGACTGCCATTACTACGTATCAGAGTTGCTCCGGCGAAAGGCGTTTACGTAACAGCATTATTAACATGCTTTAACAAACTGTAATCAATATTAAAGTTTAATAATTAAATTAATTCATTTGTATGTTAATAATTATTTAATCTGTACTCGTATTTAATGAAGCGAAAAATTTCCTACGATTTGATAACGCTCGTTCTGAAATTAAAAAAAGAGGTTGTCTATGTTTCTGTTTTATTTTTTTTTTCATAAACTTGTGACAGCGACCGTCACAGTTACAGCTCTAATAATTTTATATAAAGCTGACAATTTCGCAATTATAGTAGCCTTGAGTAGGAGGCCTCTGTAATCAGTCAATCTCTGGTGAGTGGTACAAGCACAATAGGGAGATATCTTTATCATAAGATCTGCTAAAGTTAATTTTCCATCAATTATATGTGATTTACCACAGGCCGGGCTTCTTGTAACCTTGTTGCTAGAACTTTCTATGACTGCGTTCTCGGCACAGAATAAATGTATATTAATCGCATATGTCATTGGTAAAGTACTGGCTATAAATAAATCAAAGAGGAATAAGGTTTTATATGTATCAAATGATGTTTAATTTCATACACAGCTTTATGTATGAGAAGCAATTTATTTACTAATCCGGGATTAGTGAGCGTAGGTTCTCGAGCATCCTTGATGTTTAGTTTGTAATTATATCAACAGTTATTTAAAATTTATATCCGTACATACCTTTGCTGTAATACTAATAGGTTGATGATACGCATATATTAAATTTACAACCTCATTGAACTAAATTAACCACATTTAGATCGGATCGAATTGAATTTCATATTAATATCGTGCTAAATAAATTTAAAAACATAAATTTAACAAAATTTTCTTGC